ATTCTCCCCAGCTGCCTCTTGGCCCAACCTCCCCTCTCACCAAGGCTCGCCTACCTCCCAGATGCATGTGAGCTTTGATTTCCTCACTCCTGCTTTTAAGGAGTCCAGATCCCTCCTGCTCCCGCCTGGTCTGCCTCCACACTGCCTGTGCCCAGGGTGGGCACAGTGCCTCTTCCTACTGGCACTGAATTGATTTTCTTCCAGGTTGGTTGGTCATTGCTGCTCTGGGTTTATTCTAATAAATTGTTATTTGCTGGACATAGACCCAAAGGACTTTTTATTACCGAGGGACCCATCTTGGAAACCTTAATAAATCATGCTCTATTCCGAATACACCCGCCTTGTGGTCAGAGAGGGGTCTCATCTCATCGAATCATGGCCAAGTAAGGGGGTCCCTTTCTTGCAGACACCACAGCTGGCACTTTCTATTCTTCATGGTTCAGCCATCTGTCCTGATACCTACATAGGTGAAATCTGTATCCCATTCGGAAGGGCGGGGGTACTGGTGGTCATGGTGCCCTTAATTGTGTTCCGAAGAGTTGATCACCTGGGTCTGGATTTCCTGTGTATTCTCCACCTGTGTATGGGCCCAGCCCCCAGAAGAGTCTGTTGAAATGCTGATTCTTGATCCTGCTTCAGTCCTCTGGCTAGAAATCTATGGGGTAGAGTCCTGGAACCTACATTTTTAACAATTTCCAGAAGAGGTTCATATGAAATTCAAAATGAGAAGGCAGCTATCCTAAAGCCATAGCATCACTCATGTGTTCATTTCTTGTGTTCTGCTTTGAGTACACTAGATGACTCCGCCTCCCCTTTCCTGCAGCCTGGTCCACCCCATGCTTGTGGCACTGTACACACCTCCTCACAACACGTTGCTGGGAGGGTGCCTTAGCGAGTGGGTTCCCATCCAGCTCAGCTGGGGATTTTCCTCCAATCTTTCCAAAAGCATGATTCGCACATCTGGATCCCGGCCATGGTGGAAGAAGGGCCCCTTGGTGCATACAGTTAACTCAGTTTAAAGGGTGGAGTCCAGGGCCAGGATGAGCAGGGAGATAGAACAAAGCAAATGGGTCCTTGAGGACATTCTGGACTGTTAGCTTCCCTAGAGAAGTGGACAGGGAGGTGGCCCATGGGATAGGATTCCAGCTGGCCTGGGCTGATGGCCTGGAGCTCACTATCTGGTGCTGCCTGTGGCCTGTGTTTCTGGACAGTTAGTCCTTTTACTCCATTGTCACCTGTGCCAGTGATCCCCCAAGCAGCCAGACTCTTTCTTTTGTCCCATACCCCCTCCCTCTAAGTGATCAGATCCTCTCATCTCAGGTGGCTTTGTCTGAGCTGGCCAGTCCTAGGGAGGCTGCTGGGACTCGGATGAGGTGGCTCTGGTGGCTCCTCAGCTGGAGAGCTATGAAGCCATCTCTCCCCAGCACCTATGAAGTCTTCGTTCTTGTCTCCCACACCGAATTTCACTTCCTTCTTCTTTCTGTTCGCTTCTCTCTTTTGCCCTTCCTGTCTTGATAGATTGAAACCAACATTATATTCCGGCTTCTTGTGGTCCCGGTAAATAGCTCTTAATGTGACCATGCTGGTCGCGGAGGAGGCTGGTTGGGGAGAAGGCTATTGGGGAGAAGGCTGTGTGTGCTGGGACACTTACCTTCATCTGCGTAAGAGAAGGAGGCCTATGTGCTCTACAGGGCATGCCCCAGTGCCGGGGTTCAGCAGAGCCTTCCTGGGGGTCAGACAGACCTGAGTGTCCTTGATTCTGCCCTTGATACAAAGGGGAGGACAACTCCACCAGGGTGCACAGTGGCCTGTAACCTGTGCTCCTTGTGGCTGGCCCTGAGCACCTAGCCTCTTTGAGGACAGCAAGAGGAATTTCATTTGTCTTTAGCACAAGATTTAATTAAACAATTTACACGTCTTTGATTTTCTTATGAGGCCTTAGTGTCTTGGCAGTTATTGTTCTTAGACTGCAGCAAACAGGAGCCCATGTGGGGATAAAGTACATGGCGAAACACGTTTTATATTGATGTTTGCAAGATCGATGAAGAGCGAGGTCTGGCCAGAAAGGGCAAGGAAAGGCCCAGATGGGAATGGTGGGAGTGGTGGGAATCAGTTCGAGCTCTCCCCTCTACCTCAGGGACCAAGTCTGAACTATCTCGCCGAAAGGTCCTTTATGAGCACCAGGCAGATGCTGAAGCCCTGGATGTTCTCAGATGGGGTTCACACCCAGGGGCCTCCATGGTCTCCCTGACAATGCATAAAGCCACTGTCAACGGCTACTTTGGCATGCAGAGAGGATGGAGGGCAGTTCTGGCTGGGGGAACACACTGGCATCTTGCGGTGCAGCCTGCGAGGGGTCTGCAGCCTTCCAGACTCAGTGAGAAGGAAAGCCAGCTCTTCTGGTCTGAGAGAAGCTCCATTCTCTGGGGGCGGCCCCAGAAATCCATGTGGATGACAGCTTCTTGTCCGTGGCACTTTTTCTCGTTGGGAACAATCAGCAAGGGTTTTTTCTTTTTGGTGCAGCAAGGAGCCCAGTGCTGGAGGGACAGGCCATGGAGGGCAGCTTCTCTATTGTTTTGCAGCTTGGACCCCTTTGGAAATGATGACAGGGGGTAGGGAGAGGCAGCTGCGCCTGGACTTGCATCTTGGCTGCTTTTAGGAATCTGGGCGCGGGGCAGGTTGGTGGAGATTCAGAAGGCATCTCAGCCAAACTCCCGTTCAGACCAGCCCCCAGCCCTGTGAGCTTGGGCTGCCTCATAACTCTGGCCCCGTGTCACTTGGGGCTGTTGACTAGCTGAGTTCCCAAAACCTCTGAGAAAACTGGGGACACAGAGATGGTTCCACAGTGCATGGGCAGGGTACCCAGCCCCCATGGCATGTGTAGTGGGATACATGTGCCTGGTCAGGCATCTCTGTGTTGGCTCTTGGGTGATGTCACACTTGGCTGGCTCGTGGTTTGTGTGTGTGTGTGTGTGTGTGTGTGTGTGTGTGTGTGTGTGTGTGTTGATCAGGATGTTCTTGTTTTGTGGTTGTCCGATCACTTGTTTTTGGCCGTGGACTTCTGTAGGAGGATTTATTTTTAGCAGCTATTGCTTTTGGCCTGAGGTTTGATCCTTGGGCATGGCAGAACATTCATATTTTCTGAAATGTTTGTGACTTTAAATTTAAATATTTATTTTGGAGTATTATTGCCTTTTATGTGTTTATGTGTATGTGTTAGAAGTGTAGAAAATATAAATTTCATGGTCTTTGAAGTAATTTAGTTCTGATTTTAAGGTCCAGCTTTACCAGGTACTGTGTATTTATGAGTGGATTGTTTTGGCTCCAAGAGCCTTGTTTTTCCAGCCCGATGGTGGGCACAATTCCACTTGCCTTGAAGGGCTAGAAATCACATGTGTGCAGTACCTGTGCTGAGGTGTGTACTCACGGTAGCAGTTGCTGGTGTTTGCACATGAATTCCACGCCTGTGCTCTCTCACTGGTGGGCACCCAGTGAGCACAGTGTGGGTGTGTTTGATTTGGGTGGTTCCTGTTGGTGTGCTCTCTGCTGTCTTTGTGTCTGGTTCTGTGTGTTACTGCTGGTATCTGCCTGGAGTTGGGACTTTTTCTTTTTAATTCTTTTCTGCCAACTAGGGGGCCTGGATTGGAGTGAGAGGAGAGGAGGTGCTGAGGTGTGCGCGTGTGTATGTGTGTGCGTGTGTGTACGCGCGCGTGCCTGTGTGTTGGGCGGGAGGCTGGGGCTGTTGACTGTACAGGGTGTGAAGTCGCAGAGATCCTCCGGGAGGGGAAGTTCTTGTTTCTGAGTCAGCCCTCTGGCCCCCAGCCACCCAGCACTCACTTTTTCCTTTCAGAGAAAGTGTTGCCTCCCCCACTCCTCTGGACCCTGAGCTCCTGCCCCAGCACCCTGCGTGGTCTTCTCTGGCACGGGGATCGCAGGCTTTGCCGGACTCTCTTGGCCCAGCACTTCAGGGATCCTGGAGGGGTCTAGATGCTTCTTTTGCGGGGTGGGGGGGGGTGGGGGGCTCAGTCCTGCTTGACTCTCCTTCCCTGGAAGCTTAGGGAGTTGAGATGACCTTTTCATTTGGGGGCAGGGTCCACAAGGAGGGGACCGTCCTGGACGCAACTGGGAGACACTTCTGGAAATGCAAAGTGGGCAGATGAATGGCATTGTCTGTCTGAACAGTTCTAGCAAATTCTTTGCATGGAACTGGACTTGGCTGTGGAAGCTGGAGGACAAGCCTGTCTTACCAAGTCCCAGTTCTGCCTTCAGCCTGCCCCTACACATTGGGCATGGTGGAACTCTCTCTATACACCTACGACACCTATGCTCTTTCTCCCATTTTCTTGCGCAAAAGTCAGCCTCTGGGAAGAGCTGGGTCTCCATGCTTAAAGCTCTACATGCACTGAAGGCAAAGCCTCGTGCTCTGCTTCAAGCCTAGAGCAGGAGTTCTAGGAACTGAGATGGAGCTGTGGAAGGGGCCGATTATGCTTTGCATGTCACCCTTCTGGAGTTAATGATATTCCCATGGCAACAATTATGGCTCCCAGATGCTAACCTCACATTGCACACTGGTATAAATGTATGACTTTCATTTCAGCAGGAAGTGCTGTGTATACAGCAAAAATTGGGAATTTCATGTGGTCCAAACCTATTCTAGTACTGATCCTGTTGTACAGATGAGGACACTGAGGCCTGGAGTGCCTCTGTAGTTAGGGAGCTGGTGAGATACCAGAGCTGGGGCTTGGGACATGGGCAGTTTGCACCTGGGACCCCCACTGAGTCCTAGGCTTGGCTTCCTGTCTTTAAAGCTGGGTGTCCGTGAGAGCTATGCCTGAAAGCCCGGGCAGGTGTTCTCTGTTTTTTTCCCTTTGCCTCTCCTTGCTGTGGCAGGCGCAGGTTTGGGGATCCAGGGAAGGCGCTCTTAGCTCTTTTTTGTGGGATAATAGCCAATATGCCTGCTTCCACTGAAGCCTGCTGCTTTCTTTTCTCCGTCCTTGCAGAGGTGGTGGGACACACCCAGGGGCCCCTGGATGGGAGCCTATATGCCAAGGTGAAGAAGAAGGACTCTCTGAACGGCAGCACTGGGGCCATCAATGCGGCACGGCCGGCCCTGTCGGCTACCCCCAATCACGTGGAGCACACGCTGTCCGTGAGCAGTGACTCAGGCAACTCCACAGCCTCCACCAAGACCGACAAGACAGATGAGCCTGCCCCCGGGGCCTCTGGTGCCCCTGCTTCCTTGAGCCCTGAGGAGAAGCGGGAGCTGGATCGCCTGCTCAGTGGCTTCGGTTTGGAGCGAGAGAAGCAAGGTGCCATGTACCACGCGCAGCACCTCAGGTCCCGTCCAGCGGGAGGCCCAGCCATGCCCTCCTCTGGTCGCCACGTCGTCCCAGCCCAGGTTCACGTCAATGGCAGGGCCTTAGCATCTGAGCGAGAGACAGACATCCTGGACGATGAGTTGCCCAACCAAGATGGGCACAGCGCGGGCAGCATGGGCACCCTGTCTTCCCTGGACGGGGTCACCAACACCAGTGAGGGGAACTACCCAGAGGCTCTGTCCCCACTGACCAATGGCCTGGACAAGTCCTACCCAGTGGAACCTCTGGTCAATGGCGGGGGCTACCCCTACGAGTCTGCCAGCAGGGCAGCGCCTGCGCAGGCCAGCCATGTGGTCTCTTTGCGGCCCTCCTACTCTACGCAGGAAGGTTTAGCCGGCTACCAGCGTGGGGGACCCCTCCCAGCCTGGCTGCAGCCAGCGACCACCTCCCACTATAACCATGACCCCAGCGGCTTGTTCCGCTCTCAGTCCTTTCCGGATGCTGAACCCCAGCTGCCCCTGGCTCCAGCTCGTGGGGGCAGCAGTCGGGAGGCTGTGCAGAGAGGGCTGAATTCATGGCAGCAACAGCAGCCTCGCCCACCTCTGCGGCAGCAGGAAAGAGCCCCATTGGAGAATCTGGCAAGCAGCAGGCCCAGCCCCCAGCCACTGTCGGAGCCCCCCATCCCTGCTCTCCCAGAGTTCCCAAGAGCAGCCTCCCAGCAGGAGATCGAGCAGTCCATTGAAGCCCTCAACATGCTCATGCTGGACCTGGAGCCGACCTCGGCTGGTACCCCGCTGCACAAGTCCCAAAGTGTCCCAGGGGCCTGGCCAGGGGCTTCCCCGCTCTCCTCTCAACCCCCTGCAAGCTCTTCCCATCAGTCCCACCCATTGACCCAGTCCAGGTCTGGCTACATCCCCAGCGGGCGTTCCTTAGGCACCCCCGAGCCGATCACCACTGGCAGGTCTTACTCACCTTATGATTATCAGCCATGTGCGGCTGGGCCCAACCAGGATTTCCGTCCCAAAAGCCCAGCCTCCTCTTCCACATCTGCCTTCCTCCCATCTGCCCATGCCCCTCCAGGGCCTCAGCAGCCCCCAGCCTCTCTCCCAGGCCTCACCACTCAGCCTCAGCTCCCACCAAAGGAAGTGACTTTGGATCCTTCCCGGACTCCAGAAGAGGAGCCGTTGAACCTGGAAGGGCTGGTGGCCCATCGAGTGGCAGGTAAGAGCCTCGGGGACCATTGGGTGGCAGCCTGTCCTGTGTAGTCTCTCGGCCCCTTCCCTCTTCATCTTGGTAGTCTTGCTGGGCCTAGAGATGATCTTCTGGCAGGTGATGCCCTTCCTGGGGCCTGTTACACACCCAGCCGGGTTCTGAGATTCACAGATGATCTGTTCCTGCCCTTTGGAGTTTACAGTCTGACTAGTGGATGGGTGTGGACAGAGCGTTCTAACGGAGAGCCCTGACAGGAGTAGAACTAAGGCCCAGAAGTGGGACCAGTCGGAAAGCAGGGCTACCTACCTCCTAGGGCAATCAGAAAGCTTCCTGGGAGCGTGACTTTGGGGCTGGAGTAGATTTTCTAGGCACATAGGAGGCCCTGAAACTGCCTGCTACCCTTCTCCTCAGCCTGCAGTCCTTGGGACAGGAGTGTAGAAGATTTGTGGGAGGCTCTGTGGACTCAGTTTCCCTCTTGGCCCATTCCAGGACTATAACATAGGCCGAGAGGGTTAAAGCCCTTGGGCTTTAAGTGTTCTACTGATGAGACTTTTTGGCTCAGCCATCCAAGCAGATAACTCTAACTTGGAACCAGCTCTGTATGGGAAACAAAGCTCTCATCTTATCACAGCAAATCTAGAGAGATCTGCAGAGGAGAGAGCTCGGGGCAGCCGAGGAACCTATGAGGGAGAAACAAGTCCAAAGCAGCAAGGTCTGGTTGTGCTGGAGCTGAAGTTCAGGCAGAACTGTGGGGTCAGGTGGGCTCCGTGCCCAGCCTTCAGCTGCCAGGCTGGCAGCAGGCGCTTTGGGGAAGAAGAGAAGCCCGAGCAGCTGGCTCTGCCCTCCACCCTTCCTAAATTTAGGGGAAGCTGAGTCACCGTGCCAGCTGCAGGGAGGCAGGGAGACGCCCTCCTGGGGATGGACCTTGGCTTTGGGGTGGCATCTTGGAACAGACTAGCTGGCCCTGGGTGTGATGGCAGGGTTCAGAGTGGAGAACCCCCAGTTCTACTCTTGGTAGCTTGCAGTTGGCCCCAGGGAAGTCTTTCCACATGGAGCTTGGCAGCCATGGCTTCCCCTCCCTGAAGAGCTGGTCTAGGCCTCATGACACTACTGCTTTACCTGAGCATGGAAACAAGACGCACAGCTGTGTAACCCCGGGGGTGAAATGTACCATGGGGTGGTCCAGATGGGGCTTGGACTTCTGCTTTCTGCCACATCTGGGATCTGGCATAAAGATACCTCCCTGGCTGCTTTGTCAGCAGAAACCTCTTTCCTCCTAGTTTTATTGAAGAGAGAAGAATGGGGCCACCCAAATTCCCTAGAAATGTAATTCCAGAGTTGAGGAGGTGGCCTGAACGATAATGACATTCTAGTCCAGCAACGAAGAAGCTGAAACATAAGCTTCAGTATAAGTACTCTGAGAAGCTCAGGGCTAAGAGAGAATCTGGCCACAAACTTGGTCTGATTTCTCTTAGCTTTTCCCCATCAAGTCTTTTTTCTTGTCAACTGTACTCCATACCTCACTACCATGTCCCTGGTTCATTCCATGCTCCTCATATCTTATTTCAACTTAAAGGCTGTTTTCTTAACTGGAAAGAGTATATACTAGAAATCTAGAGTGCACATCAATTTTCTCATGAAACATTGCAAGCATCCCTGTTACAGCCAAAGGACAGATTAAGGATGCCTGTGTTGCAACTATCATATAACATTGTATCAGATGGTCCAGCCACAGCAATAAGACAAGAAAAAGCAATAAGTCAAAGTTGGAGGGTCCAACTGAGGTATCCTGTGTCTCTGATTCTGTGATTAGATTGCTATTGGGTGTCTCTAGAGGTAGAGATTTCAGTGTATCTTGGAAATTAGATGTGGATCTTATCCTTGAGTCTAGAATTAGGTGGTGGTAGTTGGGGACTGGAACTTTAAGATGAAGTCATTTGTAACAAGAGAAGTATGGAGAAAGTTCTGTGGGACAGAAGAGAGAAGGCCACTGTTGTTTAAAGTGGTTTGGGACCGTGTGAAATGTAGGTTTAAACTGAGCCTTGCAAGATAGATAGGATTTTGAAAATGGGTGAGGCTGCTAAACAGAAAGAGGTCACAGTGAGGCTAGGAAAGAACAGAAAATGTTTGAAGCACAGTGAGTGGGTGAAAAGCATTATAGATTGTGAGAGGAAGACTTGGAGGAGGCAGCCAGGGGATTGTCTCAGGATAGTTTTGAATACCAGACTGAGGAGCTGGGCTTTCACCTCGCACCATGTAGCAAGTCATTACCATGGTTTAGTCAGGAGATTATGTCCTGATAAATGCTGAGGCATGAAAGATGAATCTGGTGGATCTGTGTAGTCAGGATGCAACATGGAAGAGACCTAGACTGGGGGACATGCTAGGGCCCTATTAGGTAACCTTGGTAATGAGGACTCCTAGAGGAGATGATGCCATGGATCTGGTGGGGGAGGGGGAAACCACTGCGATCACAGATCAGTTGGCTATTGTGGGTGAGGTGCAGGCGGACCGTGGGCTATGATTCCGAGGCCTCGCAAATTGAAGGGCAGGGGTTCCATCAGCATGCAGGCATTAGGTGGAAGAGCTGGCATGGAATAAGGTGGAGCTACAGCGTTAGGTCTACGTGAGTCTGAGGTGACAACAGCATCTCCAGGTATGGACATACAGAATCAGAGCTTGAAGAGTGGGAACAGTTATAGATTTTAGAATCTTCCTCGGGAAAGGTGAAAGGTGGAGGTTAAAGCTCTGGGCACAGATGAACTCTTTATGTCAGAAGCATGGAGACAAGAAAACTTAGGGTAGCGTAGTCATGAGGGGAATGGAGGCCGAAGAGGGGACCTCAGAATAAAAGCTCAGGGTGGTGACAGGAGGCCAGGACGATGCGTCATCACGAAGTAAGATAGTGGAGGGTTTCAAGGAGGAGTGGGAGGTTAGCAATGTCAGTCTGAAGCGATAAAGAGCAGGAGGAGGAAGAGGAGGAGGAGGAGGAGGAGGAGGAGGAGGAGGAGGAGGAGGAGGAGGAGGAGGAGAGAGCGTCCCTTGCGCTGGCCATGGGCCTGGTGATTTTCAAAGGATCATTTCAGTTGAGTGCTGGTGACAGAATCCAGACCCTGAGGGGCTGAGCAGTGAGTGGAGAGGGAGTGAAGACAGCATCCAACCACACTGTGGAGTGGTTTTAGGATTAAAGGGGAGAGGGTGGTAGTTTACGAGGGTGGCGGGATATTGGGAACTTTTTGCACGATAGGAGTAATATGAATGTTTTCCAGTAGAGAAGGGAGAAGATTGAAGGTGGGAGAGGAAAGAGCAGGAAAAGAAGAGAATGAAAGAAATAGAATGGGCTCTAAGGAGGTCAGAGGAGATGGGCTCAAGAGCCCCAGCTTATTCAGACGCAAACAGGACCTGAGATGCCTCTTTACGAAGTTATAAAGGGTTATAAAGACAGGGAGATAGCAGAGTCAGGCTTGGGAGCATGAACTGAGAACCTGCTATTTTGCGTTTTATTATGTATATGGGATTAAGTCCATGGCCCATCTGGTTTTTCCGTGTGAGCTTTAATCTGTGCTACTTGCTAAGCTAGGCTCTGGGAAAGTGGTAGCCAATGGCAGGTAAAGTCTGTGCCCTTATGGACTTGGACACTAAGCAACTAAACACATAGATGTATGCCCTTTCAGATGTCGGATAAGTGCCAGAGAGATAAAGCAGTGATATGCTAGTGAGGAGTAGAAGGCAGGTGAGCATGGGACAGTCAGGGAGGGTCACTGCTTGATGAGGAAATGAACCGTAGGGAGCAGCCAGTGCAAAGGTCCTGAGACAGGAGTATGCCTGGTATGGCTGGGGCAGTGAGCAACATGAGGTCTGAGGGGTAACGGGAAGGGGGCCAGTTTATAATTGGCCCCAGAAATGCTAGAAAGAATTTGCTCCACAAAGTGACGTTATCTGGCTTGTTCTAAAAGACCCAGGGCAGCCAGGATGGTAGCAGAGAGACAAGTTGGGCGGCTGCAGCTATTGATCAGGGTGGAAGCCAGGAGACAGGAGCAAGTGTGCAGCGTGTGGACATATTTTGGAGTGGCTGCCGACAAGATTTATAAATAGGTGAGACAAGGACAACTCGGAGTCTCTTGAGCTGAGCCACTAAAGAATAGGCGCTCTTTATTGAGAAGGGTAAGGATCTGGGAAGAGGGAATATGAAAGGGTGCTGGGCTGTGACATGTCCACAGAAGACCTGAGGTCAGGCTGCAAGAGTCAGTAGCTGCAGGAGGTCATAGAGCTTGGAGAGGTGGAGGTGTCACAGATTTCACCCAGCGGAAGTACAGGCAGGGAAGGTCCGAGGACTGAAGGTGGGGCCTTGCACATCTTGGGGTTGGAGACAGGTGGGGGAACCAGCCAAGAAAGTGGGGTGCAGCCCTTATGGATTAGAGGAGCCAGGCTGGGGTCGTGCTGACCACTTGCATGGCCTCTGTGTCGCGAAGAGCAATGGGGAGTTGGCAAGGTGGGCAAAGGGTAGCACCACAGGTCCTTCCAGTGCACCCAGCAGGTTCATTGTAAGGGCTTCTCTGGCGGTGCCCAGCAGTTTGGGGCAGAGCAGACACTTCCCCAGGGTAGACGATCACTTGGGTTGGTGTGACCGAGGGTCAGGGGCTGTGGGATGTTGAGACAGGAGGGTGTGGGACCCTTGGGCTGAGGCTGGTGGTGGCACTCTGGATTCAGAAGGAGGCGGGTGACCATGACAGAAGGGGAGGACCTGGATAGATCAAGTGGGCTGAGGAACCAGTGAGGCAGCAGGTAACAGGACTGAAGTCTCCTGGCCCCAGGCTGCCACCTTCCTCCTCTGTCCCGAGGTTAGAAACTAGAGGGACAAGGTGTCCTACTAGCCAGCAGGACAGCCACCTGCCCTCTGGAGGAGGAGACCAAGCCCTGCCCTCTCTGTCTGTTCCCTTCCCCTCCCTCCAGTACTGCCAGATCCCAGCCCCAGAACACCAACTAATCTTCATTTTCTCTCTGTTTTTGTTTTGTTTTGTCTTGTTGGATGCCATGTCCCCTGCATCTCCCTGTGCCCTGTGTCCATGTGCCTCTGTGCCACTGGTGGGGGGCTTTCCTTGCTGATGTCTCCCCTCTCCACCTGCTTCTCCCTGCCGGCTCCCCTGGGGTGGGTGGGCAGCGTACAATGCCAGACTGCAGGGCCTGGGGCTGAGCGGCAGATTGCGGGCCCCTCCTCTCCACCGGCTCCGCTCTGCCTCCCTCTCTGGTTGGTTCCTGGTCTTTCCCCTTCTCCCTGGGAGCTTTTCAGTCCCTTTGTGGCTCCCAGCTTCTCCCTCCTCCTCTCCTTCGGGTGCCATTCCGTCGGAGCCTTTGCCTGCCCTCCTTCTTCTGTCCATTTCCCGTTTCCCCTCTCTTCTCCCTCCCCATGGCTGTCCTGTCTCCACCTCCTGCTCATTCTGTCTCCCTCCTTACCGCATTGTTCTCTTCCTGCTCGCCCCCCCCCCCACTCCTGCTGCATGAGCCAGAGCTCACTCTGCATGGATGCAGCCCCAATGCTTTTAGCTTTGGCCTTGTCTGCTGGCAGCAGGGTTCGAAGTAACCGGACAAACTTTCAGGGCCCTGCGGAGATGTGGGCCTTTGCAATGAGGCAAATGGTGAGGGCTCCCAAAAGCCCAGCACCCTGTATCATAGGCAGACGAGCAGGGCTGCGGGGCCAGGTCTCAGCAGGAGCCAGGCTATACTACCAGGCATAAGACCAGGAGTGGTGGCCCACATCTGCTTCCTTGGCACATTCTGGGGGCAAAGTATCTCGTCTGACCCCTCCACCAATCTCTGCTCCTAGGACCCGGTAGCCAGGAGTCAGGAACCTAAGCTGTGGTTCTGACCCTGCCAATGCTAACGTCTGTGACGCTAGGCAAGCCTCTTCTCTAGGCAGAGCTGTTCCCAGTTCTAAACTGCAGCAATGACAGGCCTACATGAGCGTTGCACATGGTGTGCACAGCCCGGGTATGGTGGCCCCTGCATCAGGCTGTGCTGTTTTATCTGAGGGTGATATTGTCCCCTAATGGACACCCCCAGTCTCTTGGGAATGCAGGCCTGGAGGTCTTAGCCCTGAAGAAGTCCCCTCATCCAGTCCCTGCTCCTCCAAGCCTGAGGCTGCTGTCAGGAGAGACAGTGTGCTTAGGCTCCCCCCTTACCCCCATTCCAGAAAGAGGCTGCAGGTGGGTGGGAACCATTGACTCCCAGTGTCAGCACCTGGTGCTGTGGACCCTCCCCCCGCCCATGGGGATGGGGAGATGGCTCTAGCAGACTGTGCCTCCTCTGCTCCTCTCTCTCTGTCTTTGTCTTGGCCCAGTGGTGAGGAGTGCAGTTTAGCTGGGCCTAGGGTTCAGGCAGGTTCTGGGGTGGTGCCCTATCCAGGGGAGCTGGCATGGCTTGCCCTGGGGCTGCTGGTGTGATTGCCTGCCGTGTGGCTTCCTAGTGCCCTGGCCCAGCAGGTGGCCTTCCTCCTGGACCCCCTGGCTTCTGGAGGCATGCAGTCGAACACCTGGCCCTGCCACCTGGAGCTGAGGAATCCAGTCTTTTGGAAATCGGAAGGCTGGAAAGAAGAGCTGGGTCTGTGGGGGGTGGAGGTGGCCAGTGGGGGTGCGGGGTGGCTGTGATGAAGCCACAGCAGGGTATTTGTCCCTGTGACTCCAGCAAGGGCAATAGAGCTTTGCCACAATACACAGAGTGACCGATGTTAGGGCACAGCTTCCAGGATTGCCGTGTGTATGTGTGTGTGTGTGTGTGTGTGTGTGTATGCGGGCCCACAGGCACACATGTATGTGGACACCTGCCTGGAGAGAAGAGGCCAGAGACTGAAAGAGTCCTGGGGAGAGGGTGACAGCAGGGAGCAGGCTGTCACTCTCTGGGACGTGACGGAGGGTGTTCTCTCCCTGACATGGCTGTCAGCTTGGGTCCAGATGTCCCAGCTGGCTGAGGAACAATGCACTCTCTTCTCTCGCCTTCACTGTGCCCAGTTCCTCTCCTAGAGAGAGAGACAAGAGGGAGAGGACATGGCTGTCCATGCAGTTGGGGCAGCTCTGGGCTTGCCAAAGGGGACAACAGTGGGACACTGTGTTCAAAGAATGTCAGTGGCCCTAATGGGCCAAGGGTGCCATGGGGCACTCTGTAGGGGCGGGGCCATCCCTGTGGGAGTGGAATGTGGGGTCTTTCCCCTGCTGAAAGGGGAGGCTCTGCCCTGCAGCTCCATGGCTCTTTGGAGGTCACAACATTCACTCCCAGCCTCTGGATGGGAGGCATTCCCACAAGCTGAGCTGGTGGGCACAATGACCCAGAAAGTGCTAGTGCCTTGTGCAGGGTCTCAAGTCAGCCACCTAGTCCAGCATCTTTTCTGGGCTGCTGGAAGTGTCTGTGGCCCCAGACGTGGATACTGATCTGGGCATGTCCAGGAGGATGTTCTCTTTCCCTCCAAGAGATGGAGTGCTACCATGGCAAGCAGGTCTGTTTTTCAAGGGCAAACGTCAGATCCCTCAACATGGAAAGCCACCCCTTGAAAATGCAGAGGGACCTGCCAGAAAGAAACTGCTGGGTAGGGGATCCTGGAACTGAGACCAGCCCAGTGCGTTTCCTTTAAGCTTGGGGCTGAACTAGCTTCCAAGCCCCAGGAGCCCTTCTCAAATGGACCTCCTTTGTCGCGGTATTAGTAGAAAATCAATGGCTACATCTATTTCTTTCTAATCTTTTTGCCAGTAACAAGCCCCACAGGGGCTCTGGGCCACACTGCCTAGGAGGCCCAAGCTGGGCAGGACTGGTAGAGGAAGAAGCCAGGCTGACGCCAAGGGCTGTGTCCTGGTGACTCCACTCTTCCCAGGCCTGGGAGCCTGGAACTGGGGAGGACTGCAGCCTTGGCAGCACCCCTCCAAATTCAGCCTCCTTCCTCGGGGCCATGCTCACAGCAGCCGCTGGGTGGGTCTGATTGGATCCCTACTTTTTTTTTCTTGAAATGAGGGCACTCTGAGGTTACGGAGCAGCTTGCTTTAAGCTGAGCAGTCTGAGCAGAGCTGGCAGGCAGGGCTGGTCTCAGGCACAGTTCGAAGCGTGGCCTCCAGATGCCTTTGGGCACCTTCAGCATTTAATGGGTTGTACCAGGCCTGCTGCCCTGCAAGGTTCCCTGCAGAACTCCTGAAGCAGGAATGCGTGAATGAGTCCATGTCTGCGGGCTGGCGTGGGGGTGCAGCTGCCCTTGGACTTCGTGGCCAGTGGCCTGCTGTGCTGTTTGAGACAGGCAGGAAGGCTTCCCAGCAGTGGCTGCTCGTGGTGGCTATTGTGATTGTGCAGGCTGGGGACCCCTGCAGCCTTCATATCTCACTGTAGATGGAACAGATTCAGTCTGCATGGGGGTGAATTTGACTTAGTCGCACAGGCACATTTTTAGGTGCCCACTGTGTGTGTGTGTGTGTGTGTGTGTGTGTGTGTGTACACTCCTACACAGGCTGTGGGACAAGTGTCCAGGGCCCCAGGCCTGTGACCTAGGACCTTTGGTTAACCCTAATTAATGGTGGTGAAGGCAGAGCAGAAAGTCTCCTGGAAGGTAACTAACTGGGTCTAGGAGCACACCCTTTGGGCTGAGTCTTGGCCCTGGGACCTGGAAAGTAACTTTTCTAGGATTCTGGGAGCCAGCTCAGTGAGGCAATGGATTCCATGCCTCCAGTCCAGCTGTGGGAGGAGGGAGTAGGAAGGAAGCAGGGTGAGGTTAGCAGCATGCCCAGCCCACGGGATGGACCTGGAATGGGAGTGCAGACTCAGACAGAGCACACGACCTCCCGCTGCCTTCCCTCCACCAGCATGGCAGGATGGGAGCCTCCACCATCTCTGGAGGTGGATGGAAGTAGCAAGGGGACCAGTGTAAGGGAAGGAAGAGGTTTTGGGGGTGCGTGGGATAAAGGTGGGGAACCCCAGGGAGGGTCAGGAATATTCCTGGGGGCAGTTGTGACTGAGAGCTCCAAAGCAAGTCTGAGTCATTTTTAAATTTCTCTTTGGGAGCACCATTTGCAAGATGATGCAATTTAGCCCTTTCCAAGAGCTCTTCCCCCTGGGTTTGATGTTGCTTGTTGGTTGATGTAGTTGCCTTGGAGACCCTGTCTTCCCTCCATCTCCCCTCCCTTGTCTGGAAGCTCTGGCCCTCTGCCTCCAGGGGCTGGAAGGAGCCGACATCTGTTTCTTCTATCAATCCTTTGTCCTCTTGGTACCAGTGCTGCATGGAGTAGAGAATCTAGTAAAGACTGAGCCCAATGCAACCAGGTCCCCACACCTGCAGAGAAGGCCTGGGGTGTGAGCTTTGGGCCCAGGAAGGCTGAGGGACGTGCTAAGGAGAGGCAGCCCATTTTGGCTCAGTCCCTATGCTAAGTGGTGCTGCCTTCTCTAGGGGATTAGATGTGATTGATCATTTCTCAAATAATATGTTCATTATCCTCCATGCCCGGCCATTCCTCCAGGGGTGCAGGCTCGGGAGAGGCAGCCTGCTGAGCCCCCAGCCCCACTCCGGAGGAGAGCAGCCAGCGATGGACAGTATGAAAACCAATCTCCCGAAGCCACGTCACCCCGTAGCCCTGGGGTTCGCTCCCCCGTCCAGAGTGTCTCCCCAGAGCTGGCTCTTACCATCGCCCTCAACCCTGGAGGGCGGCCCAAAGAGGTGAGTGCTGGATCTGTGTCTGGGAAGCTGACAGTCAGCTTGGCATGGACCTACTAGTAAACAGGGAGGTATATTTCCCTCCCTACAGACCTTACCCCACATCTCTTCTCTGGTGCATGGCATGTAGAGCCCATTCCCTTCCTTCAGCAGCTTTTCTGTTCTCTCTTCTTACATTAGTGATGAGATGGAAGTTCCCTTCCCTATTCCTAGAATCCCTTAATTGCATGGTAAGAATTCTGGGGATACCATAGTTGACCTCAACCTTAAAAACACGAATCAGGCCAAATACACTGATAAAAATGTTTCAGTGCTTCCCAGAAAGTTTTCTTGGGAAATTTGATTTTCATGCCAAAGTGTTTGTATTTTGGGGATGTTGCAGTAGTCTGAAGCAGTGGGTCTCCAACTTCAGTGTGCAGAACCTCTGCGGAGTGTGTTCATATTGTAGATTCCCAAACCCACCTCCAGAGATTTCAGCATAGAAGATGTGGGACGGGAACGAAGAGTCTGCATTTTAAACGTGTAGCCTGGGAGAGTCTGATGCAGGTGGTCATGGGCCCCACTGGAGCGTTTGTGCCATCCTATAATACCCAGCTGAAGAGTCACCCTGGATGTCGGAGGCCTTCACCTCCCCCCTCCCCCCCTTTTTTTTTTGTCTTTTGAGACAAGTTCTCGCTGTTCAGTTCAGGCTGGCCTTGAGCTCACTTTATAGCCCAGGCTGGTCTCACACTCGTAATGATCCTCCTGCCTCAGCCTCCCGAGTGCTGGGATTACAGGCATGAGCCACCACGCCCGGCCACACCGCTTTCTTACCTGCCTTCTGCTAGGATCCAAGTCCATCACCTCCAGCCCCTTCGATGTGGCCATGTGCGGAATTATTTCCAAGTCAGGTGCTCCTGATTCTGCCTGTGCTTGACCACGGCCTTGCAAACAGCCACTCCCCCCACCCCTTGGTGACAGGAAATTGGAGCTGTACATGGCCAGCGTCTCCTTCTGACTTTCGGTCTTACCTGAGCAGTGGCAGAGATCGAGCTGAGAGGCGGCTTGTCCCCGCTTACCTGGCTGTTCTCATGCCCGAGGTCTCTGAAGGGCAGTGCTGCCTTCTCAGGACTCCTGCTTTTCCTCCCCCTTGTTCTCCTGCAGCCACATCTGCACAGCTACAAGGAGGCCTTTGAGGAGATGGAGGGAAGCTCCCCGACCAGCCCACCGCCCACTGGGGGTAAGACTTCCCGCTGAGCCTGTCCTCTCCGTCCTTCCTCCAGCCTGTCATCTCCACCCTGGCCAGTGTGTGTGTGGGGGGGACGAGTGCACCGGCTGAGTTGGGCAGGGTTAGGCTTTGCTGGCCCCGCTTCTGCTGCTTTTCTTCCATTGCGCTGTCTTCCCCTTGTCACCCTCACAGTTAAGGTTGAGGCAGCCCCAGAGTGACTGAGGCAAGAGCCAGCCTGAGGCAGGATCCAAAGTGATTGACTGTGGGGCCCTGTGCTCTCCTAGGAGAGGGTTTGCTTAATTGTTAAAGTCTTTTTGACATTCTGCACTCAGAAGTTCCCCCATCCTGCCACGGGCTCTCTGGGACTTCACCTTGGTGTTGTTTCTGACCCCCACTCCTATTTGCATTAAGATACATTTTCCATTTCGGGTGACATGTGTAACCTTCAGGGAAACAAAGGGGTCCCTCAGGCAGGGGCATCCACACACTCCCCAAAGGGCAGCCAAAGACAGGACTCGAATGAACCCAAGAAGAAGGTCGTGTTTCTCTTTATAAGAAATGCACCTTGAAGGGGAGGCGGAGGAAATGGTTGTGGGGAGATGGTGAGACCTCCAGGTCCCTGAGAGACACCCTGGGTGGCAGAGCAAGGGAAGACTGGTCATCAGGTTCAGATGCCCAGGGAGGCTGGGCCTGGCTCCTGTGGAGAAGGCAGCCTGGAGCTGGCTGAGGACCGTGCCCTGTGCATCGTGGAATGTGGCGAAGGTGCTTGACCCATGTGCCAGCAGAACTTGTGCTGGCTGCTGTCTCGGGCATGCAGGAGGCCAAAGTTATGACGCTGAATGACTTCTGGGAGCTGTGACTCTGGCTGCCCAATGGAAACAAAATATGAACACCTCTGTCATTAAAATTCTTAGTAGCTGCCCTGAAAGACATGATAGGAAACTGGTGAAATTGACTTTAATAACATCTTTCTTATATCTAAAATATTATCATTTCAGTGGGTAAACAATATAAAATCTAGGTATTTTACCATCTTTTTTAGCCACTGATCCAACCTAAAGTACTGAGACATTGATATTTTATTAATACAAAATGCATGCTATGCGGTACCCTTTTTGCACGCTGAATCCAGGGGTTCACTCGGTGTTCACAGCACATCCTCGTTCCCCTCAGCCAGCTGCAGTTCTCAGTAGCCACACGAGGCTCGAAGCTGCTGTGTTGGATCTGGAATGAGTGTGGCCTCAGCGCTGTGACTCTGGAGTTGGCTCTGACGCCCCTTGTGACTCAGTGGCATTTGTTTTCCGGTTCTTGAACTTCTGCCTTCACAACTGCTTCCAATCCCTGGTGGATCCAAACCCACAGGGTGGGATGTCCCCCTGCTGGGGCTGGAAGCCATCTGACTTGTGCTCAAATTGGGTTTTGCCTCTTTCTTTCCCTGCCCTTGGCTATGCAGGGTTCCCTGGGGATGAGGGTAAGTCAAAGGTTTCATAACTGCACAGGCGGAGAAATGCCAGGAATTTTTCTCGCAGGAAGCAGAAGGCTGCTGGACTTCAGCACCACCCACTCGTCTGCTTCCCCATGAGGGCCACTTTTCCTGGGACGGGGTCCCGTGGGGTGCTGGTGGCGGATGGGGAGGAAACCCAGGCAAGCTGCCGACCCTCTCTGGTCCTCTCATTCACTTCAGCTTCTCTCATGCATCGCTGTGCCCCTCTGCTGGTCCTGCTGGGCAGGTGTGTGCTCACTCCTGGCCTGGAGTTGTGGGCTGGGCTCATTCCTTCATAATCACGCATTCAGCAGGCATCTGACAAACATTCACAAGCATAAGTACTTGACAAGTGTCTGCGAGTGAGACACTGTGTTAGGCAATAGGGGTGTGGAAAGGCCTAGATTTCCCTGGTACCAGGAGTATATGTTTGCACACATATTTCCCCCATGATGCCTGTGTCCATTGGACATATAAGCACAGAGGGTGGAATGCAGAGCTGACCCACCCTTTGGGACCTCTGAGATGTCCCCTGCTGTGTGTGCACAGCATACCTTCCTGCAGTGCACAGTTGATTGTGCACGTCACTTGCGTTGAGATTGCACTGTTCTGCTGCTGCTCGTTGCCCTTAGGTCTCTGGTCTTCCGGGGAGAGGGAAGGGTGCTAGAGAGGATCCTGGTCATCTGAAGGCCACAGCTCGGGTGCTGAGACCATCTGGCAGACAGGAAGCATCCCAGAGAGCGGCTGCCTCCGCAGGTTCCTGATCTCCCCGATAGGAGACAGAGCTCATTATGCTGGTTCTCTGAAGTGAGCCGTGACAGCTGTCACTGAGACATCTTGTGACTGGGCATAATACCACCAGTAGCTCAGCCCATGTCCTTGGCTGATGAAAAAGAGCCCAGCAGCCCTTCTGACCTTGTGTATTATGTGACACTTGTAACCCAGCCGGGTGGCTCAGGAGGGGCCTAGCTTTGCCTGGGAAGCTGGTGCTCTTAGGCCAAGACTGCTTGGGTTTCTTCTGGAGCACTGAGGTTTAGAGGTACAGAGCCCCAAGCGGAGAAGGTCCTTCCTGCTAGAATTTTCAGGGGATCCTGAGTTTTAGGGTTCCCACCTATAGTCCTCTTTCCCCATCCTTTTCAAGTAGTTATCATGAGAATCAGTTTTCATTTAGCCTCCTCTGAGATCATCCATGTATGTGATAGAGAGAGACACACAGAGAGAGAGAGAGAGAGAGAGAGAGAGAGAGAGAGAGAGAGAGAGAGAGAGAGAGAGAGAGTGTGTTGGGGGTATTAGGGAAAGCAAAAGGAGGATGGCAAAGAGAGAACATCATATAGAAAGGCGCAGAAAGAAGCCGGTGTGTGTACTGTGAGCTACCGTACTGTAAGGGAACTCTAGCAGCGGCCAAGAGCCTGGGGGTAGAAATGATTTTCTTAGGGTTGGGGACAGCGCCAGGATAAGGGCATCATTTCTTCACTCTTTCCTTTGTCCTTTAGACTGTTGAAAGGTGGAGAACACGGAGCCAAGGAAGGCCAGTGGAGCCTTTTCAGGGCTGGGGCTGAGGCTGCCCAGCTCAGGCTAGCGGGCACCCCTACGGTGGGGCGTCCCGCCCTCCCGCTGTGCCTCCTCACTCCCCACCTCTGTCTCCATTCTTCTTTCCACACAGTGCGCTCCCCTCCAGGGCTGGCCAAGACCCCTCTGTCTGCTCTGGGCCTGAAACCACACAACCCGGCAGACATCCTGCTGCACCCCACGGGCGGTGAGTGATGGGCTGAAAATGGAGGGCAAAGCCTGGGAGGGGGTCTAAGTGGCAGCACCCAGAGAGGCCTCTGTGGGACCCTCCTAGAGGGGAGTGGTCATGGGTTCTGGTCCCTCCCTGAGGTTGGGCTTGAAGCTCTGCACAGGGTTGGGGTGACGCATCTCTTTGCAGCTTTTCTACCTGTTTTTGCCTCCTTGAACTTGGGGGTTGAGAGACCTAGTCTCAGTTTCCTTGCGGAGTCAGTCAGTGCTCTGCTAGAAAAGTCTGGCTCCCCCATGACTGGCCCATCAGCCTCTGCTCTCAGTCTCCTCAGAGGCCAGACCCCTGAATTTGGGTGTTTTCCTGCTCTGCCTTTGGGCTCTCCAAACCTTCTTGAGAAACCCATGACTCAGTAGAAGCCAACACTGAATGCCAGGTCCTGGGTCTTCGCCCCCTCAGCCTGGGTCTCCCTGCCTGGCCAAGGCCCTCACCACTCCAGGTAACCTTTAATCCTCTCCTTGTTCCCATCCCCCATGGCGGCAGCTAGCACTGCTGCTGAGGACCAAGCCAGATTCTGGGGCTCCTGGGCTGCTCCCTGACCTCCCAGGGCCTCCAGCCTGTCCTAGATCCAGAGAGGATTGAATCCCCTAGAGCTGACAGCCACCTTGGCTCACACCTCCAACTTCTCTTCCCATTTCCCGGTTCCTCTCTGTCTTGTGGGAGACACGACCGTGGGGACCATGGGCACCTAATGCCAGCTGGATCTGGCTAAGCCTAGAAAATTTTCCTAGACTGGCTTTAGGGCTGGGCTGGGGCTTTTGAGGTCAACTGCTCCTTTTCTCCTTTATAGCCAGAAGACTGATCCAGCCAGGTAGGCGGCAGTGACATATGTTTGTGACCCACACAGCCATTGGCCAGGGCACAGCCTGCCACCAAGGTGTTGGCATGGCCAGGGACACTGAGCCACAGAGGGAGAGCAGGGCGCTGGGCTGCCTCTCACTGACCAGCACTGCTGCTTGAGACTGGGCTTTGCAAGCCTTAGCCCTGGGCGCTGTGATGGGGACCCGAGAGCCAAGGTCTCACTCAGGCTGTGCCCTGGACCCCTGGGGTCTGTGCAAAGTGGGCCTCAGCCTTCTAGGGGCATCTCCCTAGCCTCCCTTTCCTGCCTTGCCTTTCTCAGCAAATTCAATTCTTTCTCCAGAAATGCTCCCTGATAACCAGTCTCTCTCTCTTTCTCTTGCTGGCTCTTCCTCTCACCACCTGACCTTTCTTCCTGCCTGTCCTCCTCTCGCCTCTCTTCTCCTCTTCCCTCAGAGGAAGATGAGGGGAAAGAGGTGATCAAGCTTCCAGAAGGTAAGCATGGGGTTATGTGTGACCACTCCTGCTGCCTTATGAATGGCTTTGCATGCACACAGGGCTTGACACAGTTGGCTGGGGGACAGCCCTCTCTTCTTACCTGGTCTCAAGTGACCAGGCACACAGCCTTTCTGTCCCCAACCCCTGGCGCTCCCTGAATGCTGCCTCGAGAGCTTGTAGCCACTGGGCACCAGTTCAGGGCCAGCCAGTGTCTAGCCCTAAATCTGGTGGCACCTTGTTGACAAAAAGTACCCCTCCTGCCACTTCCTCTCCAGGCGCATTTGCACCTGCCTGGTGGGTGGGCAGCCACCCACAGAGGTGGACAGGCCAGGCCTTCAGAACAAGGACTCTGTGGGCTGCACAGTCCCTTGCTGTGGAGTAGCCTGTAGGGTTCTGAGCAGCATCTCTGGTTTCCATTGCCAGACACCAGTAGTACCCAGTCGTGACAACAGAAAATGTCTCCATTGCAGCCAGCGTCCCCTGGAGGGGTAACTGCCCGAGGTTCAGAGCCACTGTCAGAGAGCCATGTCTCGCCCTTTGGAAGCCTCTGTCTGGTTTCCTCCTAGCACAGGAAGTAGGCAGTCTGTCTTTCTCGGATGGGAGATGCCTTGGGGGCTTCAAGAAAGCCGCATACCCACCCAGGACAAGCACACATCGGGACACTTGCTCACATTATTCTGAGAAGCAGATTCAAGGACTTAGGTGGCTGCGGGTCCCTGGCCTAAGTCCTGATTTGATGAACTCTTGTATGGGGCACCCGGTGAGTGGGGGCGGGCAGTGAGTGTGGAAGTGGCTCAGTGAGTTCTGGCAGAAGTCTCACGAGGACTCAGAGTGTGGGTGACCCGAAGGGGTACCAGCCTGAAAGGCTCATGTGGGCTCCTGGCAGTGACAGGCATTGGAGCTGGGAAGGGGTGGCTGGGGTGATCAGGGCCCACAGCCGTGATCCTGGGCTTCAGATCTGGGGTACACAGGAGGCTCCCAGCCCCGAGCACAAGCTGGGCTCTCAAATGCTCACATGAGAAGGTCTCAGGGTTGGCTGACAGGTCCTGGGGGCTGGGGGTGTGGCTCGGGGGTGGAGCACTTGCCCGGCATACAGAAGGAGCGAGTGCTGACACAGCTGAGCTGGCAGCTTCCAGGTGCCTCATGAATGCCTCGGCTCATGAGACCCCGAGTCCTCCCACTTCCCATCTGTCCCAGAGCCATGGAATTGGAGGGGAAGATTCCTAACCATGCTGGTGTCACCCCAGACAGGAGCTGAGGACTGTTAGGGTCGGGGAGGATGAGGAGTTGTGGGTCTCCTAACTCTTACAGAAGTGGCCCTTTCCGAGCCTTTCCTGCCTCAGAGCCTTGGGATTCCAGTGTGGGAGCTAGGATTGTTGCTGGGGTTGGGGTAGGTGGAAGGCTGGGAGCCGTGCTGCATTTCCTGACTCAGGCTCCAAGGTCTGGCTCAGACTGCAGCACATTCTTTGCTGACTTCCCTGCTGGCACTTTAAGGGGAAATTCAGAAAAAAAGGCCTGTGAGGAAAAATGACCAGTGGGGGCCTGGTGCGGTGGTGCACACTTGTCATCCCAGCACTCGGGAGGCTGAGGCAGGAGGATCGCTGTGAGTTCTAGGCCAGGCTGGGCTACAAAGTAAGTTCAAAGCCAGCCTGAATGGCATAGTGAGACCTTGTCACAAAAAGACAAAAAAAAAAAAAAAAAAAAAAAAAGATGACGAGTGGCCAAATTATTCCACTGAGGGAAAAGAAGAATGTGGAGGCTGCTGCTCCCTTCACGTCACTGTGCTAAATATATTCGTGCATTCTTTTATTCATTGATTCAGGAGGTGTTTTGTAGGACTGTTGTGTGCCAGGCATCATGCAAGGCTCTGGGGATTGAATGATAAGCAGTTCAAGATACGGTTCCTAATCTCACAAAGTGTGCATGTGAACAGGAACTGCAATTAAAGGAGCACTCAGAATTATGCATTCAGTGCGTGGGAGGGAAGGGATTTAGGGTTACGAGAATTTACAGGAAAGTACACACTCTGTGCTAACTCGGTGAAACTCAGATAGGAGAAGAGCAGAGGGGAGTGGCATGTGCAAAGGCCCTGTAGTAGGAAGTGATGGCCTACTTCTTCTAGGAACTGAAAAGTCGGTGAGGCTGTGGGACAGAGACACAGAAGCCTGCCATATTGAGATTCGATGTTGGCATTGGGAGTGGCTTCCCGTGGCAGGGGACACCCAGGATAGTTCTCTCCGTCCAGGAGATTTGGGGTGGACAGATACGGCTCAGGAAGACCCTGGCCTAGAGGCAGCCTCTCTGGGGACTCTTCTTTCTCTTGGGCTCTCGATGCCAGGTGTCCCGTGACACCTGGGTGCTTGGCACCAAGGGGTGAAGGGGGATGGAGTGGCCTGGGGAGGAGGGAGCTCGAGTCGTAAGGCCAGGTGGACGCGCTGAGCCGGGGTAGGGAGTGGTGCCACGGGTGCTCGGAGGGGGAAGTGTGGGCCGATGGAAATGGTTTGAGATTCTAACTTTTGAGCACCTGGACAGGGGACTCAGGCCTTTATTTCCTCTTGTCCTTCCACCACTCTCCTGTCTCCTCCTCCTCTGCAGTCACTGTCTCGTTCCTTCCTTTCCCCTCTCCCTTCTCTCCTTTCCCCTCCCTCTCTTCCCCCACCTTTCCCGGTGCCGGGGTCACACCCAGAGCCTCACGTGTGTTAGGCAGCACTGAACCACCGGGTCCCTGCGGTCCCCGCCTGTCTCCCTTTACTCAGGCTGAGTCCCTTTTCCACAGCTGGAGTTCTTTCCTGGGGCCAGAAAACGCACCTGAGGGTGCGGAGGCAGAGCTGCCGGTGTCCCAGGCTGGAGGAGCCCCGTCCCTCTTGTATCTCCAGCTGTTCTAAGCCACCACCAGCCACTGGGATGGTTTGGGCTCCTGGAATGTTCTCCGTGCAGCACCCTCCCTAACCCACCCTCCCAGTCTTCCTGACTGCACTGCCTGGGTGCAGGTGCCCAGGACTTGTGGAGAGGAGGAAAGCTGTAGGGTACCCAGGGTGGGAGAGACCAGAGTGGCCCAGCGTGGGCCTTAGGCAGGGGAAGGTGGTTTTAACCATCTCTGCAGATCAGAATTAGGACAAATTGGAAGGAAGTTTCCATCTCCATATGTTTCATCCACTGCAGGCAGGTATTCTCATGCCCACTTTTCAGATGAAGAAACTGAGGCACAGAAGGGCTCTGGCCAAAAAGAAGGGGAAAGCTGCAAGCGTCAGTATGCAACCCTGAGATGGGAAGGTGAGAGAAAGCTGAGGGACAGGCAGAAAAAAAGAAGCATTTTCATATGGAACTCAGTGTGCAACCTTGGCAAAATTGACATTGGGCCCTCAGCTCAATTTTTCACGGTCCCGGCAAAGCAGATAATTCCCAGAGGTCCTTCCTGCTCTGGGGTCATGAGGAATGCAGCTGGCATCGAAGGGCTTTGCTCCTCTTGACCCCAATTTGGGACTGAGGTGTGATTGGGACTGAGGAAGAGGACGGGGTGGGCGAGCACAGGTGGCAGACAGCAAGTGCAGAGGCCAGGGTGGAGCTGGGCTCCGTGTCACCCAGACCCCGGTGTCTCCTGACATCACGGTGCCCTCACACTCTGCTCCTTCTCCCCAGTGAGGGCCCATCCCTCAAGGCAGACTCCTAGTCCTTCGAGGGCTCCTCTGGCTTCCTGTGGCTCAGAAGCTGAAGGGATTGGGGTCGTGGCCACCAGACGGGCCATGAGGACGTGGCCAGCTTCGCGTTTCTCATCTGTCAGGACATCTGATGGGCCGTTCCGCCAGCCCGCTCTGTAGAGCTGTGCTTGGCCTCGAGGTGCAGCTAACTGTGGGACCTCTCAGTTTCCTGTTTAGTCGGGGGTACAGGTGCTTTTAAAGAGGGGGAGGTGCAGGTAGCAGTGTTGTTTACTCAACGTGTGGGTCAAGGTCTTGGCAGAGAGCCGATGACTCATTCCAGTGGCGCAACTAAAGGAGGGTTTAGTGGACCGTTTAGAAGTCTGGGCAAATCTGTGAAGAATGTCACGTACCTTGTGCTACCCCTGGCAGCAGTAGGGAGCCATTGCCACCCCAGACCTGCACAGAAACAAACACAGCCTGAAAGAGAGGGTGGTGAGCAACTGTGGCCTTGTGTGGAGGGCACAGCCACTGACCCCTGCCCCTCTATCTCTCCTGCTCATCTCCTGCTAGTCCGATCTGGAGCCATAGGACAAGGGGTGTGGGTGATGCAGTAGGTAAAAGCCAGGCTGCAGGGACACAGATGAGGGCAGAGAAGATGAGGATGGAGAAGAGAGCAGACTAGGAAGTCATCTCTGCCGTTTCCAGCCTGAGCTCTGGGGATTGTGGGTGTCTTAGGTCTTCTAGGACCCCGCTGACTGCCTGGGGCTGGAGGGCAAGGGTTGGACCTCTGTGGATTGGTGAGGCAGACACATACGGAGGCCTGGACTCCCCTGGCTTTCTGTGGCTCAGAAGTGGGAAGTTATCTGCTGTGTATGAGGTGGTGGGAAGACCTATTAGCCAGGCAGGCTCTGGGCCCTTAAGAGGGGCAGGTGGACTCCGTGCCATCCAGGTGGAAGGAGGGACACTGCACCGTGGGAACTGGGTGAAGCTGCACTGAGCGTTTATCTGGAAGGGTCAGGAAGTGTTCAGAGGGAGAGATGGATGGGGCAGTGAGGAATGGGAGAGAAGAGTGGGCTCTGGCCGGGTCATCTGAGCACTTCTGCAGATGAAGTGCCCTCCAGTTGCCATCCTCAGGCAAGGAGCAGTTTCCTCAAACTAAAGCCACTCTGAAACCATTGACTGCCCAATTTCAGATGGTCCTACAGATGGTCCTGTGAATACAGGAGGGTCCGGCTCTTTGCCAGTTGATTGGGCAGCTCTGCCATTTGTCAGCTGTGTGACTAGGGCAAGGCATCCACATTCCCCGAATCTGACTTTCCTCACATGATCATTTGCTAATTTTATCCTAGGCATAGCCTGGTGGAGCTGGCATTCCTCCAGCTGATAGGCTGGTGCATGGGAAGCAGTCAATTCTAGGTGCCCATATAAGACTGTGGGCCCACACTAGGCCACCCAGCACTTGCACTGGGGTAGTGGTATGCATGCCCATCGACTGCCTGTGTTTTGTGGACAAATCACTTGACCTCTCTGGGCTGATGAGACAGTTTATTTACAGCATGGATCAGCAAACCCTGGCAGCTGGCCAAATCCCGCCTGCCACCTATTTATGTAAGGAAACTTATTACAACACAGCTGTGCCCACTCAGTTGTTGTCTGCAGATGCTTTTGCACTCAACAGCAGAGTTGTGCAATTGCAACAGAGACTGTCTGACCCACCACACCTAAGGCTCACACTGCTGGGTCCTTCACAAAAATGCATTCTGGCCCTGGGTCAGAGGACAGAACGGAAGCTTCCAGTGTCAGGCTGGCCCAGAGGGGCATCTTGAGGTGGGTGGTGGCCTGGGCTGCTGAGGGATGTTTTTGGGGGGTGGGTCTTGCTGGTTCTCTTGCAGGTCTAGGTACCCAGGTGGCCGCGCCTATGGTACCCTGTGCCTTGTACCTGGAATAGACCTTGCTGTACCCACCTCTGTTCACATGTGCCACCCAGGCCTTTAGAATCCTTCTGATAAGGGTCAGAAGCTTGTCCTCTGTGTGTGCTGGGGAGGGCGTAGGGCTGAGAGAGGAAGTCTGGCCTGGACCACCTGGTGAGGAGGTCAGGCTCTTAAAAGAGATCATGCCAGCCCTCCCTCTTAATGAGGTTTCCTTGGAGCTCAGGGGAGGGAGGCTCCATACTGTTTGCTTCTGTCCCAGCGCTCTTTTCACTGACTCAGTGACCATCACAGTTCGACCAGCAAAAGGTGCAGGGGCCCAAGCCACAGGATGTGCAGGCACCAGCTCCTCAGAATCTCAGGCTGGTTCCGGCCAATGATTAAGAGTGGCAGAGCCTGGCTCTGTGCTCAGCCCTGGTCCCTCAGGTCAGATAGTGACTGCGCCAGGTTTGCAGGCAGGGAAACCTCAACCCTCACCGGTCACACTCCTGTTTGCTGTTACTGTTAGCATCGGGCTAGTTCCCGGGCCAGCCTCCGAGGCTGTGGCAGATGTTGGACAAGCGCTGGGCTGGGAGCTGTGCCTCTTGCCGGTTTATTTCCTGCCTTTAGACCCCTCTATAAAGTGGCCTTTCTGGCTCTTTCCTCCCTTGCAGCCCCTGCTGGACTGTGCTGAGCACCAGCAGGGATAACATGGGTCAGTGTGCTCTGTAAGCTGCCCAGTGCTGCAGAAATGCCAGAGGTGGGCACAGGATGTCCAGCTCTACCTGGCATGGGTTTCTCTTGAGGAATGCTAAGCGTGTCAGGCGGAGGTGGGTGGTGTCTTGCTGGGTGTGACTCATCGGCACAGGCCTGTTGCTAGGTGAGCAAGCTTGTTTCTGGATTCTTGGCATGCGGAGGAGCCTGGGGCTGTCCCGAGGCAGGGCAGGGCTCTGTGTCCACCCTACAGCCACAGACTCCAGTGGGGCCTGAGGGGCTGGGCAGCAGCATCACGTACGGAAGGAAAGGAGTGGTCACAAGGACACCAGCGATGGACAGATGCTTGGGGGAGGACTCTGCGATGGCCATGTGCAGAGGCAGTGCCTGGGTCCATTGGGGGAAGCTTCTCCATGCCAGCCCCAGCATGGGCCCCAGGGAAAGCGCCCCAGCATCATGGGGATCTGTTTCTGAGCTGTCTTTCCTCCAGGCTGGACACTGGGGGGTTGTGTTTCTTGACAGGTTGGGTGGTGTCCATACTACATCCCCGGGGACCTCAGTCTCTGTCACTCTGGCACTGAGTCTCTGTCCCCTTGTCCCTTGCAGAACCTCGGAGTTATGTAGAGTCAGTGGCGCAGACAGCGGTGGCCAGGCCCCAAGCTCAGGACACTGAGCCCAAGAGCTTCAGCGCCCCAGCTGCCCAGGCCTATGGCCAGGAGACCCTGTTGAGGAACGGGACCCTGGGCGGCTCCTTTGTCTCCCCCAGCCCCCTCTCCACCAGCAGCCCCATCCTCAGCGCTGACAGGTAAGCTGGGAGTAGGGAGCACATGTGTGAGGGGCCGAATCCAGACCTGGGTTGGGAGGGTCCTGGGATCTGTCCAGGGTGTTGGTGGGCAGAAGTCACCTCTAGATTGCTGCCCCTTATGAGCCCACCTCATTGTGTGCTTTGAGAGAGCCTGTCCTGAGCTCCGAGTTTTATGGGGAGTCTGGGACGAGTGAGCTCTGATTGCCAGCAGGCTGCATTCAATCTCACCCATCTACGTGCTGAGGAAAGGAGTGAAATGGACCAGGGTGAGGGGTGCAAGATCTTTCCTCCAAGTTTAAAACCTAGAGTGGGGGGGGGCTTTCACACACTTGTAACCTCAGCATTCTGGGAGGCTGAGGCAGAAGGATTGAATGTGTGAGCCTAGCCTGGGGATCTTAGCAATTTAGTAAGGCTCTATCTTAAAATAAACAATAGGAAAGGGCTGGGGATGTAGCTCAGGGCAAAGGCCCTGGGTTCAATGCCTACTACTGAGAAATTAAGTCAGTAAAAATTTTAAAAAGAAATAAAACCTAGCCATGTATGTAGGAAGTGCTTCCAAGGCACCAGCCCCTGCCCTGTGGGCTCTGAGCGGTTATCTTCACTGTTAACTGTACTTTGCAGAAGAGGAAACTGAGGCACATCGATGAAGTTGCTTGCTCAAGGACCTCCTGCTAAGCAGTCTCAGAAATAGGCTTCCGCCCATGGGCATGTGGCTTCGAAGCCTCCTGTCTTCTCCCCTCATCCTGTGTCCTGGTGCTGTCCTTCTGGGATAGGAGCCGGATGTGCTCACAGCTGGAAGAGAAGGATAAAAGCCTGGAGATCAGGGCAAGGGCCCTTTTTTCAGGCCAAGGAAGCCTAGGGAATTTCTGAGGATTAGAGCTATCCATGGGAGGCCAGGGGAATGAGCAGGACATCCAGGGGTGCTTTGGAAGAAGAGCACAGAGGGACTGAGCCTGGGGATGTGACGGATTGGTATGGGCAACTGAGGTCCCACAGCCTGCAAGTGAGATGACTGAGGGATGACATCAGTATCCATCTGAGCCCATCAGAGGGAAGCCAGAAGTGGGCAAGGGACAGTCCCTACTGGCAGCATAGGAGAGAGAGGGCCCACTTGGAAGCAGTGAGAAGCTGCCTGATTACGTGGGAGTGAAGATTCCATGTCTCGGAGAGGAAATGACCTAGGAAAGGGAAGTTATGGTTGGCTCAGGCCAGGTCTGGAGGAGGACCCGTCCCTGGCAGGAACTAGCCCTGGGAGGGGAGACCATCCCTTCTCGAGCCCGTCTTCCTCCTGACTTGGGATTCAACAAAGCCTGCAAATGCCTGACTCTTCCTTCCTCCCATTTCTGTGCGTGGCCCATGGGTGAGGCTGCTGCTCAACCTCCACTGGCCCAGCAGAGTGAGGTCCCTGGGAGGAAGCTGGGGAGCTCTAAAACCTCGAGCCAAGTATGCACCTCACAGCGCAATCTACCTCGAACTCCCCAGCTTCTCCATGGAAGCAGAGGCTGCAGCGTTGAAGAGGGCCAGTGGTGCTGTTTGCAGGAGCCCGGAAGCTCCATTCCTCCTCTGGGATGATCTTCCGGAACTCTGGCTTAGCAGCTCGTCCCTGTGCTGCTCACCCTGGTGCATCCTGTCGTCTGTCTCATTCTTCACTACCAGGAGGCGGCATTCTGCTCTGTCCCTTTAGGGTACCGAGTGGACTTCGTCCTGGCCTGGTCGATGACCTCCTTACCCTTGGTTTCTGCTACCCAGGGAGCCTAGGGAGGGACCACCTACCTGGCCCAGAGTCTCCCTCTGCCAGGGCATACAGTGCGGACAAACCTGCCTGCCACCTCCATAGCTGCCGCTCACCCAGGATCAGCTCATCCAGCCCCTCGTTTTCCACATGGAAAGCTTTTAGCAGGGAGGATGCTGCTTACCCAGATGCACTCCCCTAGCAACTGAATTTTATCAGGATCTTAGAATTGGGAGGGTCCTCTGAAGCTCAGTTAACCTAACCTCCCAGTGGAGAAAAGGCCTTTCACAAGCTTATGAGCCTCTGCTTGAATTCTCTTGGTGACGGGAGGCTCTTTACCACTCGAGGTAGCTTGCTCCTTTAGTGATCAGATCCAGTGGCTGGAGAGTAGACTTTATAATTGGTTGATATCCTCCAGTCTGAAACCTTCCCCCCACGATTCCATTTCTCTGTGATTCTGAAGCCACCTGAGAGTGAAAGCCCCGTGGCAGTGCTCTCAGTGTTTAAGGATGATGGTGACACACATGGGGAAACTGAGTCAAGGTGGGCCATGTAGGAACGGGCGCCAGATGGCTTGATTTGTGGTCCTCTGTGAGTTTCTGTGATGTTGGAGACCATAACGGCACAGTCCCGTTCAGTGTGGGTGGAGGAGATTCCTCTGGCTCAGGAGTCGGCGTGCACCACTGAGTAGAAAACATGGACTTTTACAGCTGTGTGGCTCTGAGCTTCTTGCTTCATCTCTCTGACCTTCGGTTTCTCTGTCTAGCAGTTCCACGAGGTAATGTGTAACAGCTCTAACATTCTAAGACACCACGAGCAGAGCTCTTGTTGGTGCTATTTGTGCTGGAAGGAAGCCTGGGGACTCTCTGAAAGCCCGCTGGCGTGCTGACCTCTCTGTTTGTTGTCTCTCTAGCACTTCAGTGGGAAGTTTCCCATCAGGGGAGAGCAGCGACCAGGGCCCCCGGACACCCACCCAGCCTCTGCCGGATTCTGGTTTTCGCTCCGGCAGCCTGGGCCAGCCCAGCCCTGTGGCCCAGAGAAGTTACCAGAGCCCTTCTCCTCTCCCGACTGTGGGCAGCAGCTACAGCAGCCCTGACTACTCACTTCAACAATTCAACTCCTCTCCGGAGAGCCAGGCCCGGCCTCAGCACAGCATAGCCAGCGTCCACATGGTCCCAGGAAGCCCCCAGGCCCGCCACAGGACAGTGGGCACCAACACTCCGCCCAGTCCTGGTTTTGGCCGGCGAGCCATCAACCCCAGCATGACTGCCCCTGGCAGTCCTGGTTTGAGCCACCGTCAAGTGATGGGTCCATCAGGCCCCGGTTTCCATGGCAATACAGTTTCCAGCCCCCAGAGCAGTGCAGCATCCACTCCAAGGAGCCCCAGCCTGGGCCGGCACCTTGGGACCCACCAAGGCAGTCTGGCCTCTGGTGTCCATGGCAATGCGGTAGCCAGCCCTGGAAGCCCCAGTCTGGGCCGTCACCTGGGAGGGTCTGGATCCGTGGTTCCTGGCAGCCCCAGCTTGGACCGGCACGTTGCCTACGGTGGCTACTCCACCCCTGAGGACCGGAGACCCACGCTGTCCCGGCAGAGCAGTGCATCTGGCTACCAGGCTCCTTCCACTCCCTCCTTCCCCGTCTCCCCTGCCTACTATCCCGGCCTCAGTAGCCCCGGCACCTCACCCTCACCAGATTCTGCAGCCTTCCGCCAAGGGAGCCCAACGCCAGCCCTGCCAGAGAAGCGGAGGATGTCGGTGGGAGACCGGGCCGGCAGCCTCCCCAACTATGCCACCATCAACGGGAAGGTGTCCTCCTCGCCTGTCACCAGTGGCATGTCCAGTCCCAGTGGGGGCAGCACGGTCTCCTTCTCCCACACTCTACCTGACTTCTCCAAGTACTCCATGCCAGGTAGGGCTCTCCTCCAGCCCTGAGAGATGGTCCAAGCTAGGACTTCTGTCCAGGCCATGCCTTGGCAGAGGGCCTTAGGGGAGTCCCTGACTTCTGGGCCTCAGTTTCCTTGTCTGTTCAGGATGTGGGTGCCATGGTGGGGATGTGAGTGAGGGTGGAGGTAATGCAGATACTAATCATAGCTTAACTGCTATCATGGCCAGCATTGTCACAGCCATCTGTTGGGCACATGTTATGTGGCAGCCTCAGACCAGCACTTCCCTGGTCAAGTAGCTTCTTTACTCTTGCCGGGAGCAGCCAAGGCTTCCAAAGGCGATGTCATTTGTCCAGAATCACACAGTTAAGACTAGCAGAGCTAGGTTTCCAATCCAGGTCCCCACTGCCCGAGCTAGTTCCCTCAAAGTGTTGGTAGATTGTCTTCATTATGTGTTCATATATATTTTTTCTGGTACTGGAGATTGAGCTTTTGTGCTGAGCTATATCCCCAGTCCTTTTTTATTTTTTATTTTGAGACACCACCTAGCTAAATCAGGATGTTGTGCAGTCTGGGCTTAAACTTGAGGTCCTCCTGCCTCAGCTTCCCAGAGTGCTGGGATTACAAGCTGGCTCCACTGTGCCTGACCATGGGTCCCTGTCACAGGGACTGTCGTGACGTAGCATAACTTTACAAGTATGCCTTCTGAACGTGGGTCTCTATGCCTTTTGCCAGCCCCACCGTGCACATCAGTGATAATAGGTCTGGTGACCAGATGTGACATGGGTCGGGACTAGGGCTTGGCTGTTTTCTCAGAGCCAAGGTTCTCTCCGACTTCCTGGAAACCCATGTGGGTTTGCACAGTGAGCTCTTTCCCCAGGACTTGGCCTCTGCCCGAGAGAGTTCTTTGTCTACTGTCACAGAGGTTGGGGCCTTGGGTCACCCTGACTGTGTGGGGAGCGGCCTTGAGGCTCCAGGTGTGAGGTAGATGTAAAGTGTCCCAGGCAGCCTCAGAAGGGGCCTCTGGGAGCTCCTCCCATGTCGCTGCTCAGTCCTGCCCTCAGCCTGCCAAGGCTGGACACCTAGGTGACCCTGCACCCCCGTGCTTCCTGCCCGCCTACTGGGGACATCTGGTTCCCAGCCTCTCTCCTTGAGGGATGCAAAACTTCTAGTAGTTGGGATACTTCCTGTTTCCCACCATCTTCCCTGCTTAAAATAGCAGGAGTCAACAGAGGAAGGCACGTGGGGCTGCAGCCGCCTCTGACAGCTTGTTAAAAGGGCAGATGGCAGCAGTTGCCAGGGCGGCAGGGTAGGGACAAGAGGCCTGCAGCCCTTGCCCAGAGGAGAAGCTGATCTCTCCTCCTCCTCCTTGCCAGCCTCTGGAGATGGAGCCAGAAGCCCGAGGAAGGGAAACCTCAGTGGAAATGGACGAGCCCCAGAGATGGGCCTCCTGGTCAGCTCCCCCAGCTCATCCTTAGCTCAGGGCCCCTGCTCCAGCCTCTCCCCAGACACCGGGGAGGAAAAACGCACAACTGGAATATCCCTTTGTTTCTTTCCCTCTGCCTCTTCCCCACCCCCTTTTTATTTTCTTTGAGACAAAGCATGAAGGAACACAGTTAGGAGGAACAAGCCCTGGCACTGTGTGGCATGGCAGGGCGACTGCAGTTGACAGTAGACTGTCACATGAATTATGTGGAGCTAGACAGACTCCAGAGTCTAGGCCAGCCCTCCCTCGCCTGTCCCACGGCAGCAGAGACTTTTTGCCTTCTGTGATGCGGGACCCCGGCTTAGGGAAAGGCCAGGGCGCCGCAGGCACGAGTCTTTTTTTCTGCCCTGTTGTCTCAACTGTTGTGCTGCAGTTGGGAGATAGGGGCTGGAGAGGGTGTCAGCCCATAGGGTGGGAGCTGTGGGAAGACTACCCCAGAATCTTCGGGAGAAGAGGAGAAGCGGGGGAGGCTGCTGGCAGCTCAGTGAGGACATCCGGCCAGCCCTTCATCAGCAGGGCAGCTCACCACCTCAGGATGGTTGGAAGGAGACAGGGATGGATGAAAAGACCACTCTGCATTCCTTCCTCTTACGCTCCACCATGTTGGGGTACACTAGCTTTCTCTGTTGGTTTCCTGGGGCATCCATCACAAAGTATCACACACTTGCTTCTCAAAACAACAGCCATGGATTTTGTCCTAGGAATGGAGGTGAGAGGTCCAAAGTTCAGGTGCTGGCAGTTGGTTCTCTCTGGAGGCTCCAGGGGAGAGTCTGTTATGGGCTCCTCCTATGGCCAGTCACCCTTGGTGTCCCTTGGCTCATAGATGCGTCAGCCATCTTTGCCTGTGCCTTCACATGATGCTGTCCCTGTGTCTCTCTTTGTTTAAGGACTTCAGTTTCATTGACTCAGGGCTCATGTAATCCAGCACAACTTTATCTGCACTTGATGACATCTGCAAAATTTGATGACCCTATTTCCAAATATAAGTCTTAGGATTCTTCAGTGTGTCTCTCTGGGGGCACAGCTGAACCCATAACACTTTCCTTTCCTTTCCTCCTTTAGACAACAGCCCGGAGACACGGGCTAAAGTGAAATTTGTCCAGGACACTTCCAAGTATTGGTATAAGCCTGAGATCTCCAGAGAGCAGGGTGAGTGCTGTGTGTGCTGGGGGCTCTGTGGTACGCCATGTCTGCTGTCTGCCATGTCTGCCTAGGACCACAAACAGTACGGACTCGTTCCTCTTTGCACAGCTGCTGGTCACAGGGAGGGGGCTGGGATAAAGCCAGACAGTAAGAAACACTTCCTGTGGAAAGAAGGGTGGATGCTTCTTGGGAAGGTCCAGGAAAGCCATAGTTTCCCTAGGAAAGGACAAGATCAGCCAAGAAAAGAGGAAGCTTTAGCTCTCTTAGTCCTGTGGGAGAAGATTTCATTTTACAGCAGAAAAAGCCCAAAGATGAGAAGAAGACCCTGATGTGAAAATGGAGATGAAGTCCACATCAGGGTCTCAAGGAAAGTCTGTGTGGGTGTGGAGTGTCTCACCTGACAGTGCCTGGGTTTTTAATAAAGTTTTATTGGGGCACAGACACACCTGTCTATGTGCCTCTGACCCTTCCTGATGCAGAGGCAGGCTTGAGTAGTCATGACAGGTGGCATGGCCTGCAAAGCCCGAAACATTTAATGTCTGGCCACTTCCAGACAAAGTCTGTCCATGTTGGTACAGGATAGCCCTCAGAAGAGTTTAGATTCTGACATTCAAGAGTGTCATCACCTGAGAGAGAATGAAGTATGGCAGGCCCTGTAGGATTTAGGCGAAGCCAATGTTCTTGATTTCTTATTTCCTCTTTTTTCTGTGTCTGTTCCCAATTCAGCCATCGCGCTCCTCAAGGATCAAGAACCAGGGGCCTTCATCATCCGTGACAGTCACTCCTTCCGAGGGGCCTATGGGCTGGCCATGAAGGTGTCTTCACCGCCTCCAACCATCATGCAGCAGAATAAAAAAGGTACCATCATCTCCCAGGATGGGCCCGAAACCTTAACGTCTCAGTCCCGGGGCATTTGTGCCAAGCACAAAGCCAACTCTTACGGGATCTGGCCCTTTACAAGGGTGACTTTTGTGAAGAGTGCGTCTTGGGCTTGTGAAGGTGGTATCAGAGACCAGGATGCGGGCTGTGGTGGCTTCCTGGAGGGATGGGAAAGGAGTGAACGGCTGTTTCCATCCTGCGGGGTTCTAGCCATCTTGTCTCTGGGGCGCTTCCTCCCGTGCTGTCCCTGGAGCCTGGGGAAGCTGGGAAGCAGTGTTGGGAGCCGGGTGGGGGATGCCTTGAGGCCAAAGTGACCGACTCTTTCTCTCTCTGTATCGAAGGAGACATGACCCATGAGCTGGTGCGACACTTCCTTATAGAGACCGGCCCCAGGGGCGTCAAGCTCAAGGGCTGCCCCAACGAGCCGAACTTTGGTGAGCTACCCCTGCCTCTGTCCCTGCGATCTGGCTACAGTCTCAAGCCTGTCCCAGGCGCCCCTGGGTCCTCCCAAGGTCATGGGCTCTGCCTGTGTTGTGCATCACAGACTTGGCAGTGTGGAGGAGCAGTGGGTTTCCTCCCTCTGGACAGTGCTCCTGGGCTCCATAGCTTCCCTGGTGTGTCGCCCGGCCCCGCAGACACCATTAGCACATAGATAGTAAGCCACTGAGCTGGGATTTGACTTCGCAGCTTTCTGTCACTTCCATCTGATCTGAGAGCCCTCCTGCTAACCCGAGGGATTTAGGGGAGATGTGGCCGGGGAACTTTCTGTAAGGAAAGTTATTAGGTCACCTTGTGACCTCTAGAGTGAGCTTAGGAACCTTCTTCCTTGGATCTGGCTAAAAAGAAGTGAGTTTTTCAGCTGTGTTAGAGGGACGAGAGTAATGAAAGCTGAGGCTGGGCGTGTAGCTCAGTGGAGGAGCCCTCCTCAACTCCAGGTCTGCAGTAACAAAATGAAAGGCTGAAGATGCTGTGTAGGGGCGCCGTGGGTTCCCACTGCCCTTCGTTTGCTCAGCCCCTGAAAGGCTTGTGTCACCCCTGCAGGCTCCCTGTCCGCCCTGGTCTACCAGCACTCCATCATCCCACTGGCTCTGCCCTGCAAGCTGGTCATCCCAAACCGAGGTAGGTCATGAGACTGCTCTTGCTACACATCCATGAGCTGCCTGCTTCTGGTCCTGGCTCTCAGCTGCTCCAGAGTGAGGGCCAGGGTTGGAGGACACCTGTCACCTTGCCAGTACGGGAAACTGAAAGCCACTCACCGTCTCTTCTTTTTCTTTCCTTATTAAAAAAGAAGGAAAAGTTCACCTCAAAATATCAGCTCTAGAAGCATCAGTAAATTGCCTTTCTAGATGGTTCTAGAAAATACTAGAAGGTGTCAAGAAATTCCTTCTGAATTCTCTTTGAAAAAAAAAAAAAAGCCTCTTCCTGAGGGAGACCAGAGAAGTAGGGAATATTCTTGAGGTCGAAATAAAGCCTCTGACAATTTCTGTCCACTTCACTACTAGCTTAAAGTTCAAATACATATGAAATAGTATTATCAACCACACAATTTTGGCACAAATTAAATTATATTTTAATGGAATTTACTGTAGTAGTTCAGCAATTACAGAATCCTCTATTTAAGTTGTATAAACCAGCAGTTCTCAAAGCGTGCTCCCTGGTTATCAGATTCTCAAATTTGAGAAAAGTGTTCTCAAATTCCTCATCAGAAACTCTGGGTTGGGCCCAGTGATCTGTTTTAACAGATCTTCACACCAAAGAATAAGATGCACTGGTATAGACAAAGAGTTGTTTCTTATTCTTACTTTTTTTATGAGTTTCCTTTCAGAAGCAATTTTATTAAAGTATAGGTGAAATAAAAATTATACTACGTACAAGGTCTAACATGTTTGACACATGTACACATTGTAAAATGATGAAATCAAGCTATTTCACCTGTCACTCAGTTCTTTTTTGTTTTTACTTTTTTATTTTTTGAGACAGAATCTCACTGTGTGGTTCAGACTGGCTTGGAACTCACTATGTAGCCCAGGCTGGCCTCAAACTCCCAGGATGCTGGGGTTACAGGGTATCACTCAATTCTTGTGAACCTGGAAATGATTTTTGTGTTGCCTGGGTGGTTTAACGAATGAGGACATAGGTTGGTCTTCACCAAGACACTTCAATGCAAAACTGCAATGGTGATACGGATCGTTGAAGCTTGAAGGCTTGTTGTTTGCCAAGCACTGGGCTTAAAACTGTAAATGGGATATCTCAAAAACCCACTGATGTTGTCATCCTCATTTTAGACACGTAGCAGGTGCTGAGGGATGAGGTCTGAGGCCAGCTCTGCTGGGTTTCAGAGCCCTGCACCAGCAGGCTGAGTGCTTCAGTGGCTGTCGACATGCAGGCTGTATATAACCCGGTGCTGACTGCCAAGGGCCTGCTAGGAAAAGCAGTTTTCAGTGCACTACGTATCACAGAGCTCTCTCTCGAGGCCCAGCCAAATGCATGCTTCTTTCCAGCTCCAGGGATTTAGTTACTAGCTGAATTTTTGTCTCAGACCCCACAGATGAATCGAAAGATAGCTCAGGCCCTGCCAACTCAACCACTGACCTGCTGAAGCAAGGTGCAGGTGAGTGGTCACCTGAGACCAGACCCCTGCCCCATCCCCTCCTGCCGTGGCAGGTTGGAAGTCTCCCCAGGCCACAGTCTCCAGGCAGATTGCATTTCTATGTGCAGATACTTGGGCCCACGGCTGGCCTAAAATTCATCTGCTACCCTCTCCCCGATGAAGGGTTGTGGGGCATTGTCCCCCACTCCCTGCCACCCACACGCTTCTCTCTGGTTTGGTTTCCTCTAGCCTGTAATGTGCTCTTTGTCAACTCTGTGGACATGGAATCACTCACCGGGCCGCAGGCCATCTCAAAAGCCATATCGGAGACCTTGGCTGCAGACCCCACGCCAGCTGCCACCATTGTTCATTTCAAAGTTTCCGCCCAGGGAATCACACTGACTGACAACCAGAGAAAGTAAGCCTCTTCCTTCCGCTTCTGTGCCGGCTCACCTTCCCGCAGCCCTGCCGTCCACCCATTACCAGCGAGTTCGTCTCTCACACCCACCTACCTGTTACCCACTTATGCCGTGTGTCCCACATCCATTCTTCTTCTCACTGGCTCATCTGTCCATCCATCCATCCATCCATCCATCCGTCCGTCCATCTGTCTGTTCATCCATTTCCTCACCCACTCACCACTGACCTCTCTACCTACTTGTACCCATTCACCCCCCACTATTCTCCCCATGCATTTATCCTTTCATCCATCCATCCTGCCAAGGGTTGCTTGCATGGGTGTTCAGCCATAGATACAACAGAGAGAAGCCCCTGCCCCCCAGGGGTAGAGCGCCTCCTCTTGGCTTCTGCTAGCCCCAGCCCAGTTGCTCCCTCCTCCAGGGGACCTCCATTTCTCCTTCCTTAGCTTCCTTCCCAGCAATTGAGATGCGTTTTTGTGGCTCACGCTGCTGTCTCTGTGCATTGTTCAGGTCCCTGGGGGGAGTGGCACAGGCCATTTTGCTCATAAGCAGGAAGGAGGCTGTGTGGACTAGCCGCAGGCACAGATGGTGGATGGGCAGCCTGGCCTGCAGAGGCGATGTGAGAAAACAGTCACTCTGATGCTCATTCTGTGTTTGTGCTGCAGACTCTTCTTCAGGCGGCATTATCCCCTCAACACTGTCACCTTCTGTGACCTGGATCCACAAGAAAGAAAGTAAGTCTCTTAAGACCCCTTGCCCCTCCCCAGCTCTGCCTCACTGGCATGTATGTCTGTGCATGTGCGTGCATCTATTCTTGGTTCAGTGAGAAGATTCTCGTGTGCGCGGGGACCATGTCTGGCATCCTCCTGTGTCTTCCCAGCCACTGAGACCCACTTCCACCCTCTGCACATGCCCGACCCTCAGCCCGTTTCTTGTCTTCACACCCGGAAGGCACTAGCTTCTGTCCTGCAGAAGAGGGTTCCTCTGCCTTTCCGGAAGCCTGAGCTGGGCTGCAGGGCTCTGGGGAGAGTTTCAGTGGTCCACCCTGACCGCCTTTTTGTCCACAGGTGGATGAAGACAGAGGGAGGTGCCCCTGCGAAGTAAGTGTGGCTTCTCCCCCAGCCCCCGGGTGGAGCAGGGGACAGGCTGAGGAAGGGTAGCGGGGACCTTTCTGCCACAGTCACTGGGTTCTGGACAGAGCATTGCCCACCTCTGCGGTGGTGTTAGCAGTGGGGAGTGTGTCTCAGCAGGGAAAGAGTTGGGGAGATTTGGGAGAAGAACACATAGTTTTAAATGGGTCTTAAAAGAGAGACTGTTTTAGGGGAGGGGATGACGTGACTGAACTGCAGGCCCCCAAAGGTAGGATGAGTCTGTCCTGGGGTGGGAAAGTGCAGCTAATGAATAAGAAAACAGATAAACAACGTGGTGGTGCCTGCTAGTAATCCCAGCAATTGGGAGGCTGAGACAGGAGGACCTCTATGAATTTGGGACCAGCCTGGGTCTATAGTGAGTTCAAGCCCAGCCAGGACTATATAGTGAGGCCCTGTTTCAAAAAGACCAAAACACACACACACACACACACACACACACACACACACAAAAAAAAAAAAAAAACAAAAAAAAAAACAAAAAAAACAACAACAACAACAACAAAAAAAACCAAAAGCAAAACAGAACAGAAGCAGGGAAGAGATGGTGGGGAGTTTGCAGCAGGCAGTGTGAGGCCTCTTTTTGGGGAACGGATGGTTTGGCAGTGATCTGAGCACACCAACAGTGGGGCTCCAGAAAGGCTGCTTGGGAAGAGGGATGCCTTCCTCGGGTGTCAGGGTGTCATCAGGAGTTCAGAGTCCCTGCAGCTCCCTCCCCGTGTTCCTTCCAGCCTGCCAGGCAGGCCACTGCTTGCGGGCAGGGCAGGTGGCAGCCTTAGGCACGGCTGGCCAGGTCTCCCTCCAGCAGGGAGCTTGGAGATGTCCCTCCCCTGCCTGGGCATCCCTGCCACACCACAGCCTAACCAGCCTGAGGGCCACACTGAGGACCCACTTTCCCACCAGCTGGGTGTTACCCAGCCTTGTCCCAGCCCTGAAACACAGCTGGCAGAGCACAGCTGTAGGAAGTACAGGGCTATGTGTGTGTGGTATGTGTGTGTGCGTGTGTGTGCGCGCATGTGTGTGTGTATATATATATATATATATATAGTGTGTGTGTATGTGTGTGCAACCATGTGTTTTGTGTGTGCTGTGGTGTTTGATGTGTGAAAGTGTGTGTGCATATGTGCCGTGTGTGTGTGTGTGTAGAATGTGAATATTTGTGAGTCGGTGGTGTGTGCCAGTAAATGTGCAGGTAGTGTGGTTGTGCACACATGTATGCAGGGGTGCAGTGTGCATAGCTTCATGAAGTTATGTGGGTGTGGTGTGTGCCTCTGTGTGTTCACACACACCCGCACACGCGCACACACCAGGAGGCAGAACCAGCCCGGCTAATCTTAGTCTGGTCTGTCCCAGGCAGTGGGTTCCGTTGGAATCTCCAGCTGTCCTGCTGTCCCATCCTGCTCTAATTAGCAACATACTGGCTGGGAGGGAGGGGCCTATGCTCACATTCTGTTCTCTGCCCTCGTATTTTTAACTCTGTTTTGCAAGGAGAGAACTCTGGATCGCTCCAGTCTCAGTTTGGGAGGGGTGAGGGCACAGGTGTGGGATCCCCCTCCCGTTCTCTGGGAGGGATGTGCATGCCTCTGTGTGTGTGTGTGTGTGTGTGTGTGTGTGTGTGTGTGTGTGTGTGCAGGGCAGGGCAGGGATGCTGGGACCTGAGGTGTCTGCGGAGGTCGCCCCTGCCCAGCAGGCCAAGGGCAGCTCTGTCCCTGTGCTGTGTGGGATGCGGGACCAGCCAGGAGGAGCAGGGCGGGGAAGGACCGAGGAATGTTTCAGTTTATTTCTGGCCTCATCCCCACCCTGCTCTGCAGTCTCCCATTCACCCCCAGCTGCCCCCTCGCCTCTCAGAGGGGAACTTTTGCTGCCTTGAGACAAAGAGAGGCACTGTCCCCAGTGGAGGGCTCATGCCAGCCCCAGTCCCCAGTGCTTGGAGGGCTGCAGGGCTGCTGGGCAGCTGGGCCCACCTGCCTGGGCTGCTCTTTTGCCCCCTCAGCCCGTCACCCTTCCCTGCCCCTGCAGGCTCTTTGGCTTCGTGGCCCGGAAGCAGGGCAGCACCACGGACAACGCCTGCCACCTCTTCGCTGAGCTGGACCCCAACCAGCCTGCCTCTGCCATCGTCAACTTTGTCTCCAAGGTCATGCTGAGTGCTGGCCAGAAGAGATGAGTGCCCAGACACCTTGCCCAGGCCAGGGCACTGGGGACGGGGCACGTGGGAGGGGACCTGTGAATCCTGACCACCTTGAATCCAGAAGGAGGACTTTGGACCAATTTTGGAGAAGGAGAGAAGAAAGTGCATCATGGGGAGAGGGAAGTGAATCACGGAGGGGAGGGGGAGAGGGAGAAAGAGAAAGAAAAGATGGAGGAGAAGATTCCCCTGGGTAGATGGATACCGCAAAACCCCAGAGCCTCCCAAACTGGCCAGGGCTCCTTGCTCCCCTCGCCACTCTGAGGGGAAAGATTCCTCAGAGTGCACCCACTGGCCTCCTTGGGACCCACATTTTAGGGCAGAGGGATAGAAGATCTGTGTCCTTGATCACCCTGCTTTGTGAGAAGTCAAACCAAGAACATCCTTTTCTGGCCACCTGTAGGTAGGTTCCTAAGCCAAACAGCGGCGGACAGGAAGTGGTGGAACTTTATCTTCTGCAAAGGTACCTGGAGCCTGAGCGGGCCTCCAATCTATGATGGTGTGGGCGCATAGCCGCCCCAACCCACATCTTCACACTGATTTCTGTCTGCCTCTTTCTGCTAGAATCACCAACAGCTGTACTGCTCTACTGTGTCTCGTGTGTCTGTGGCACACGTGTGTAAGATCCAAAGATCAGGCTGGGGCTGAGGGGCCTTCGGGAGGTGACAGCAGCCCTCTCCTGCAGGAGCACCCAGGACGATGAGTCCTGGTCCCCATGCCTGCCCTCCAGAGGCCCCGGGTGCCACCAGCCCATTTTCCTGTGCAGAGACCCTGGCAGGCGCGGTGACCTGCTGCACAGCTTTGCCCGCTCCGTTGTACCTCAGTGGGGAGCTGGAGCTTTGGTTTGAGGAAGCGGAAGTGCTGGTGTCTGTAATCTTGGGAAGAAACCCATCAGGAAGGGTGACCCCTGAGCTCTGGCATCCACCTCTGCAGCTTGTGAGCTGGACGAGCTGCCAGCCAGGATCCCCAGCTGTCCGCTGTTCCTGGCCTGGAGCCCTAGCACCAGCCTTATCTCAGATTTACTCATCTGCATGATGTCTTTTGGGGGGCTAGGGATGGAGCCTTCCACATGTGCCCTGCCCTGCTCTGTCCTGCAGGGTCCTTACATCGGGGCTCATCCTGGGATGCCTGATTCCTAAAGTCTTGCTCACTAAGGCCCTAGGGAGAAGACTGTCACCCCTGCCTCCCTGCTGTAAATATTTTGGGGTGTGACTTGCAGTTGCCTACCGGGCTACTGAAGCCAACCCTAAAGAGCTCCTAGGGCTGCTACCAGAGCCCCACATAGCGCACCCGAAATGCCAAAGCCTTGCTATTTCCTCTTCTGCCTTGGTTTCCCCCACAGAGCCACGTTGCCCAAACAGAGGCAGAGTGTACATGTAGCCCAAAGGACTCAGAGTTCATTTGGGCAGTTGGGAAACCCCTTAACCACCTCCTACGGACTCTAAGCTGGAAGGAAAATTGATCAGGACTTCATTTTTAAGCCTATAGGGGTCCCCTAGAAAGAGGCATTGTACTGATATATAAATATATATAATATATACATGAGACATACTGACAGAACCTGTAAGCTAATAAAATATGAGAAAAGGTTAAAAAAAAGAATAGGTAAATTGACAAGAAGTATTTATTGTTTTACCGCATTGCTTTATGGCCTCCCTGGGCATAAACCAGTTCCCATCCCTTTTTCCATGTATGAGTAGAGCCTGGAATACAGGGGCCTTTATCCTTGGGGGGACCGGAGGTCTTCTTGCCAGGACCTTAGCCTTTCCCAGGCTACGACCCGGGCTCAGTGGGATGGGGTGCACATGCTCCATCCCTATGACCCCTTGTTTTCTGGTAAGCCAGGGCCCCTGGGCAGCTCCTTGGGTGTGTGGGGAGCCCGCCTTCGCCAGGGGCCTGGCAAATGTGCGAGTTTGGATGCGGGAGTGTGTGGCCACTGGGGTGTGCTTCTGTTATGCTTTTTCCTCCTCCAGGGAACTGTATCCGTGTGGACCTTCTGTTCAGGGAGCTGGAAAAGAGAGTGTCTGTTTGGCAGGGAGCAGGGTCAAAGGCCCCACTTTGGGCCTAGTAACTGAGGCCCTTCCAAAGTGCCCTTCCTTCTGGGATTGTATGCCAGTTGCCTGGGTTGGCCCCTCTATTTCTTCCCTAGTAAGGGATAAACCCTATTCTGTACCAAGATTGAGGGAGACACTCCTCTTTCCCTTTCTTTGTAAATTCCCTATCTCCCTGCACGTCCTGGGGCGCTCCTCTGCGGCAGGGCATCCTCTCCACCCTCCAGGCTGGGCTGAGCATCAGACGAGCTAGCCACCTGATCCAGGCCCAGGACTGAGTCTGGGGTCAGCCTACACGTTTGCTTTCCTACCTGCCACCCACCCACGAGTGTGGCCAGCTCACGCACTCCAGCTGGCGCCCTGGAGCTGTGGGCGAGCCACGGGAAAGACCCAGGTCTGCACTGGCCAGCTGATCACTTGCTCCCAGCATGCCTTTGGGTGGCCGTTCCAAAAGGATGATGGGAAGGGACCCTAGTCTCCAAGTGGCCCACTCGGCAGGGAGCACACTGAAGCCTGCCTCCCTTCCCTGTCCTGTGTTTCACAAGTACCCACACGCACACTGCTCTGCATCGCAGTCTATTCTTGCCAAAGATTTTCTTTTTTAAAAAAGCACTTTTACTTGTTATTTTGTAAATGTTTGCCCTCCTCTCTCTTGACCTCTTTTGCTGTCCTTTGTTGTTGAGTGTGTTTGTGAGCACGGAGAGTGCTGTCCGGCCTTGAATGTGAGCTGGGATGGGAGAGGTCTGGAGGACTGGCCAGGAGGAGCCGGAGATGTGTGGCCAGCCCAGTGCTGCAACTGGACCGCAGGTCCCTGGGGCAGCATTGGGCTTTGCCCTCCTCAGTCTGTTCAGTTTTGGGAGGCGAGGGAGAGGACAGAGCAGGGAAGGACATCTGTGATTCCACAAGGAGTGGGCTCGGAGAGGGAGGGCCCTGTGGTTCTCGCAGTGGAATGGGCTGGACCTGAGCACAAAGGAGATGTGACCCCAGAGGGAGACGGGGAGAAAGGGAGCCGTGTATAGCCTCAGGGGTGATAGTGCCCCTCCTGCGGCCACGGGGTCTCAGTTCCCTCACCTGAGGGACAGATGTCATCTTCTAGGGTTGGTGAGGCCTTTGACCTCTCGCATGCAACCCGTGAACTGTGGATCCTGGCTGCAGCATTCCTTCTCCCCCAGTTTTATGAGGGCTCCTGGGGGGTGGTCAGGAGTAGCCAGGACAGTGTGATGCGGTGGCCATGTGTGGTCCCTTTCTCAAGGGCTCCTGGGACGAGAAGGAGCAGGAATCCTGCTGCACTCTGCAGGATCTGGGCTGCGGTGAAGCAGACTCCTCCTGCTGTCCAGGGGAGCAGAGGGGCCGTGGCTGGGGCCAGCGTCCATCCCACCCTGGCTTCTGTTCACTGTATTGCCTTACAGGCTTCTTCCCTCCATCCGGTGTTGCCCAGTTTCAGGTCTCGAGAAGATCAAGCAGGCAGTGTCCCCTCTGTGGGACCACGCTTGGGGTCCTTGCACAGCTTGGGTTCAGTCTCAGCACCACCTTTCCTCCCAGTTCAGGCCCTGGGACCCTGAGGTCACGTGTCCTTGTGCAGGGGTAACAGGATGTGTGTGTGTGTGCGCGTGCGCAAGTGTGGATGTGTGTGTGCGGGTGTTTTGCTCATCTCTTTAGGAACTTATGAGTTGGGGCATTGAGTTCAATACGACCCAGCCAGGAGAGGAGTCGGAAGGCACGGCCTGCAGGGCTGCTGACTGGTGGACTCTCAGCATGGAGGACAGGGTCCGACACGCAGGGTGGGCTCAGGCAAGCTGTCCTTTCTCGTCCCCTCTCCCTTAAAATATCTGCAAGGCCGGAGGACCTCACTATGTCTGCCACACCTGGACTCTGCCTGGCAGTGAGGGTACTGTTCAGCGACACCCCCAGCGTGTCCCCTAGTCAGTGTTAAGCAGTGCGACACTCTCCTGTGGTCCGTGTTTGTGGTCCGTGTGTGACAGCACATCTGGGTGTGCATGGCTGCCTTTCACCTTTCCTCCTCTCCCTGACTTGTCACCAAACAAATATAAGCGACGCCCTATGCCACCTCCGCCACTCCCACCACACCTCCCAGGCCCTTCTTGGAAAAAGCAGAACACCCAGCTTCCTCCCCTCCCCTCCCCTCCTCTCCCCTCCCCTCCCCAGCTGTGTATTTATATAGATGGAAATATACTTTATATTTTGTATCATTGTGCCTATAACCTCCACCACCTTGTACAAACCCTGACCTCTGCTTCTCATCCTGGATGTGAATGTACACAGACGCCACCCCACTCCTGTACAGCTGCTCGATTTCTTTGCGATTCATTGTATGGCTTTATAAATGATAAAGTTAAAGGAAATCTATGCCGTTATCCAGCTTTGTTGTTTGGACAGGGGATCCTGAGGTTTCCTGTGTACAAAGGGGGTCACAAGCGAGAGCTGGCACTTAGCGAACGCTCAGCAAGTGCTAGGGTCTGCAGGGGGCTGCAGGTCTCTTTCCTCCTGCACACTCACCTGTGCGGCAAGGGCTCCCCCTGTCCTCATCTTATAGCTGCAGAAACCAAGGTTCAAAGAGGGCGAGGCATTTGCTCATAGTCACAAAACTGGCCTCATGGCAGAGCCCAGGTGTGCTGACTTCCATCCAGGGCCTTCTTAGCTGGGCCCCTTGCTCTGTTCTCTAGGGAGAGGCAGAGAGGGCTGCACAGGGTCCGGGGAGGTGCCTGAGCCTGACAGGGCTGGGCCATCAGCCTGGCTTCCTGGACATTCGGTCGTTGCTCCTGGGAGGGTGATGGGGAAGGTCAGGGTTGCCCTGATGCTGCCCAGTGGCAGGGGGTGTGCAGACCTCTGGGCTCTCTTTGTGAACTCTGGTGTGGCAGGTGTGTAGGGCATGAATGGAGGGCTGTGTAGCAGAGGGAGGGGCTGAGGGCCAAGAGATAAAGCCAGGGTAGGCTGCAAAGTGCTCAAGCTGAGCGGCTCAGCCTGAGGTCCAGCTTGGGCACCGGGATTGTTCTGAGGACCAATGGGAAGGACCTTCCGCAGGTGGCATCTTCCAGTATGTGTCCTGCAGGCAGGAGGCAGGTTGGAAGAAGTCCCTCCTGACTGGCTGGGACCTCACTGCCAGCCCCTCCTCCTCAACCCCTGGGGTGGGAAAATGGTGTCCTGCCCCTCCCGAGAGAGGTATTTTGGCAAGTTTCAGGCCCCAACGTTGGGGCCTCTGGAGCCCCTCCTTCTGCATCCCTTGGTAGAAGGAAGGGGAGGAGCTGGCACCTCTCAGGGACCCTCGCCCCAGGAGCAGCAGGCACCATGGGAGAATGAGTCTGAAGGAGCTCGGGGACATCTCCGCATGGACATTAGTGAAGCTGCTAAGCGATTCAGAACATGGAGCTTGTGGCCCGTTCTAACAACACCCATACAGAACACAGCTGTGGGCACTCACGTGTGCAAATGCACACACACACACTCTGAAGCATAGATGCACACAGCAACATCCATGTGCACAGACACCAACACAGCAGGCACCGGCAGAGGCATCATGCAGCCCCCTGCGCCAGCAGCCTCCTTGCAGGCCCAGGATTCAGCCCCCCTCCATGAGCTCACCTGGCTGCCCTAATGAGCACATGACAGCATTGCAGCCTGAGGGAGGGCATGGGGACCTGGGTAATCACACCTGCATGGGTCCTGGCGAGGGAGGGTGCTGCGGAGGGTTCTGCCTTCTGCCAGGAGCCAGTAAGTTTGGCTTGGGGAGAAGAAGAGATGCTGAGTGCCCAGCGTCAGCAGTGGGAGGCCAGGGGTGAGCAGCTGCGAGGAAATGGAAGGGGTAGACACCTCATCCCTGCAGCCACTGGGGCCCCTCCCATGGCTCCATGCTGGCAGTGGGCCCAGGGAGGGCCCCAACTCACCAGGAAGAGTCACTTTTTTATGGTACTAGGGATTGGATCCAGATCCTTTGACTGAGCTACATTTCTAGACCAGAGGCAGGGTGGGTCTTGCCAAGTCACAAAATTGTGCAGCATGGCTCAAGTTTATGCTCTTACTGCCTCGTTCTCCTCCAGTGCTGGAACAACTGGCTTGGCTCAGCGCAGCCAGCAGGGCCTAAGCTTTCTTGAAGGGCGCTGGCCTTAGGGTGGGTTTGGTTCTGACCTCATTGAGTCTTGGGGAGGTGTTTTCTCTCCTGGGGCTCCACTTTCCTCATCTGTAGAATGGGATCGCTCCTCTTGTGGAGCTGAGGCGATACAGCACCCAGTGTGCAGGTCCAGTATCTGTGGCCCTTTGGATCCTTAAGAAATCCACGCCTCCTTTCCTCTTCCGGTGCCTCAGGCCTCTGGGGAGACCCAAGAGCGAGAGGAGACTGGCAGGCAGTGGCCCCAACGATACTGATCTGTGAGGCTCCCGGCTCCAGACCACAGTTTTTGGGGGTGGTGGTGCAGCCGCCTCCACGGCTCCAGCTTTTATGGGGCCTGAAAGATCATCTCTGGCCATCTCTACAGGATGTCCGGGAGCTGGGCCTCCCTCAGTCTCTGCTCCCTCCCCTATCCCAGCTCAGTTAGAACTTTCTATTCTCAGCTGGGTCCTGTCGAGCCAGCCCTCCCCAGCCCCACATCCTACATTTGGGGGACCTTATCTGATAGCACCTCTGCCTCCCTCAGGGGACTCACTCCGGCTTAGGGCAGTAGAAGCAAGCTCATTTTGGGTGGGGGCAGGCATCTTTGAGGAGGACAAGAGACCACCAAGGAGGGATGGATGGAGCCTCAGACCATCCCTGGAGGCTCCCTGGAGGCAACCCTGGGTGAAGCAACCCTGGTAAGTCAACCTTGCAGTGCACTAATTCAATAGCTATTTATTGAGCACCTGCTATGTGCCGGGTCAGTTTGTTTGTTCCTCTGTGGCACTCTTGTAACGATGAAGAATCAGCAAATAAATCATGGCAGTGTGACAAACCCACTTGAGGAGAGATACACAGAGCAGCAATGAATCCGAGTGGCCTGGGACAGCATGGGTGGCCTCTCTCAGGAAGTGATGTGTTGTCAGTGTTAGAGCCCAAAGGGTGAACAGGAGTTGACTAGACAGAGAGGGACACTGGGCAGTGTTTCAGGCAGGGGCATGAGGGCCTGGCCTAGCTGTTTGAAGCGCACAGCCTTTGCAGGCTTTAGTGGTGTAGCTTGGCATTCATTTGCGGGTGAGACGGAATGGTGGCCGAATGCACGGGCCGTGCCGCCACTGCCCAAGTTCAAGTTCTGGCTCTACGGCTCGGCGCAGCACCTAGCCAACAGCAAGTGATCGGTGAATATTACCATGCTTATTTCTTATTCACTGGACCTTGCTTGTCTCCCTTGCTTGATGGAAAAGTTCCCAAGAACAAGCACTTCCCTATGCGCCTGCAGGGTCAGCACACCATCTGTGGTGTAGGAAGCCTCTGGTGGTAAGTGAGGCAGGAGAAAGGTGACCGAGAGGCCAGCGTGGCCACAGAGTGGCGAGGGTGGGCCCGAGGGCTGGGGGCTAGGTGGAGACCCGGGACAGATCTGAGCATCCTGACAGTGGCGTCAGGCTGGCATTTTGTGAAGATAGCCAGGCTGTCTGTCTCAATACATATAGAACTCCAACTCTGCATCCGATGGCCTCTCGTTTGTCTCATGAAGCGATCCCGGGCGGGGAAGAGGTTTACAGCTAAGAAGTGAAAGCTGAGAACAATGAAGTTTGTGGCACACCTCACAGGGCTGCAGAATGAAGCCCTCCTTCGTGCTATGTCAGGCAGAACACTGGGTGGCTTCCATGACAGGGGCTCCACTGAGCCCAGACTTAGGTGTAATCATCTGCTCCTCTCTCAGGTCACTGCTGTCACTTGCAGCACAACATTCCCGCGTGAGGTCATTCAGGGATGCAGGATCCTTCAGATTTGTCTCTGCCATCTCCTCAGTGTAGCCAGTATGGTCGCTCCAGCTCCTGCCATAACAACTGCATCCCAGTGAGCAGAAAGCAGGAAAGGAGGAAGGAAAGGGAAGTCCTCTCCTGTAAGCACTGTGACCGTGTTTCTATTATACAGGCTTCTGCCTAGATGACAGCGGTCAGCACTGCAGTGTGGCCTCACTAGCTGCCAGCAGATGTCACTTGTGCTGTGGGTTCACTCACGCAGCTGTGCTTCCCAGGACTCATTGCTAGGAGGAGGGGAGCAGAGAGGAGCGTGGGAAAGCTGCCTCGCGCTCCAGCGGTGCTGGGGAGAAGAGCGTTGCGGTTCCGGAAGCTGCGGAGGAGGCTGCACCTGCTCCTCTCTGGGGTCCGGCGGCTTGGGACAGTGCTAAGGGACTGAGGAGAAACGGCCATGACCCGATTTGCCAAAAAGTGATGGAGAAAGAGTCGAGAATAGGAAACCGGCTTAGGCGCTCGGAGTCGGATGTGCCCTGAGAAGTGGCTGTAGTGGGGCATGGTAGCGCATGCCTGTAATCCCAGCACTCAGGAGGCCGAGGCAGGAAGACTGCAAGTTCAAACTCACTCTGGGCCATTAAGCAACTCAGTGCAACCCTGTGTCAAAATTTTAAAAAATCGCAAAATGACTGCAGATATGAAAGACCCCGAGTTCAGTCTAGGCAGATTCCAGATGGGGACCACTAGAAAGGAAGGGTCCGTTGGAGGGGGAGATCAAGGAGTCAGACTGGATACCACGTGGGGAGCTGTGGGTGGTCCCCTCTTCTGGGCTGCTCCCTGGTATGTCAGAGCCCCAGGGTGTCCTGACCACGTCCTCAGACTTGGAATCAGACTGGGTCAGTCCAGACGCCTCTCTGCCCTGGAGAACGAAGACAGGAAAGACCTGCAGTTGGGGTGGGACAGTCCAGGGGACCAGACCTCAGGAGCTAGATGGCTGCCATCTCAGGGCCTTTCCATGTGTGGCCTAGACACCGCAGAGAACAGGGCTTGCTCTGGGGACAGAGGACCTGATGACCAGATGGACCTCTTTGGTGTGTTGGCCCTAGCCAAATACTGGATGCAGCTTGCAGTCTCCTGCTAGTTTGGGGGAAGGGTTATGCCGTGGGGAAAGATTGATGCGCTTGGAGGCTTCGAGGTTCTCAGCTCCTCTGGGCACAGTGGACAGAGGAGGGGCAGAGGGAATCAGGCCTGGGAGGTACGAGCAAGAAGGTTGGGGCCTGTGGAACAGAGACCCCAGGAAGGAAGGAGGGAGCCCACATGAGGCGTCTGGGTCCGCGAGGGGCAGGTGTGTGAAGCCCCCCGCCGGGTGTCCCTTCTGGAGGTGCCCTGCTCCCCAGCCCGGCCCTTTGCTGCCGAAGGCCAGGCCGTGTCTGAAGGACAGTCCTTCAGCCCACAGGAACAGCCCAACTCTGTCCCTGCCGCAGATAAGGAAAGGAAACTCAGGT